GGGAGGCTGAGGCAGGAGGATCGCTTGAGCCCAGGAGCTTGAGGTTGCTGTGAGCTAGGCTGACGCCACGGCACTCTCTCTAGCCTGGGCAAAGTGAGACTCTGTCTCAGAAAAACAACAACAACAACAATGAGTTGCAAGGAACAGAATAGATATAGACTTAACAAGGATTTAAGATTTTTTTAAGAGGGGTCTCACTATGTTTTCCCGCCTGGCTTCAAACTCCTGGGCTCAAGCAAATCTCCCACCTCAGCCTCCCCTAGTAGCTGGAACTACAGGTGCTTGTGCCACTTCACCCAGCTTAATTAAAGATTCAATAAGGGTTTAATAAAGTTTGTGATTTTGCCAAGTATGAAATGAGGAATCAAGAGGAGGCAAAAGATCTGAGGGTGATTGCAAAAGGGATTATTATGATTAAAGGTGGGTAAGAAGGGAAGAAAGGACTTTAGACAAGCGAGAGAGAGAGAGAGAGAGAGAGAGAGAGAGAGAGAAGAGAGAAGAGAGAAGAAGAGAGAGAGAGAGAGAGAGAGAGAGAGAGGAGAGAAAAGAAGAGAAAGAGAAGAGAAGAAAGAGAGAGAGAAGATGGTAGGATTCATGGATTACTGATCTCACTGGAGATGAAGGATTGTTGGAGTCCAAATTCTGATTCCCTGCTGGGATGAAATCAAAGGATTGACTGAGTTTTGATTCTCCATTTTCATTTTGGAGGGTGAGGCTCACCCACTGTAGCCCCTTGAGAATCTAGATTAGCCAGGCATGGTGGTGTGTGTCTGTAGTCCCAGCTACTGGGGAGGCTGAGACAGGAGGATCACTTGAGCCCAGGAGTTTGAGGTTGCAGTAAGCTACACATTCTAGCCTGGGCAACAGAGCAAGATCCTGTCTCAAAAAAAGAAAAAAGAATACGGAATTGGGCAAACAGATAATCCTTCTCCATGATGGTTCTTCTTAGGCCGAACAAGGGCATCATTTTGACTTAAGAGGACAAGGATTTTTCTTTTTTAGTTTATGAAAAATTCATGAAATTTGGGTGTCATCCTTGTGCAGGAGCCATGCTAATCATCTATGTATAGTTCCAATTTTTGTATGTACTGCCAAAGCAAACACATAAGAAATTTTTGAGGACTTCCAGGTTAGGTTACAGCCATTTCAAATAAATATTCTCTGTATCTTCCTACTCTGTCTGATTTGTATTTTTTTATTGTTGACAAAGATCCTTTTTTGTCATATAGTTTCATCATTCTTGATGCAAAATTAACTTTCTTTTAGTGTCTTCCAATGTTGTTTTGCTATTTACAAATATTGATTTACAAGGTTAATGGGACAGAATCTCATAAAATTTTTCAATCTGATGTGCTAAATTCTTTTTTTTTTTTTTAGACAGAGTCTCACTATTTTGCTTGGGCTAGAGTGCCATGGTGTCAGCCTAGCTCACAGCAACCTCAAACTCCTGGGCTCAAGCAATCCTTCTGCCTCAGCCTCCCGAGTAGCTGGGACTACGGGCATGTGCCACCATGCCCAGCTAATTTTTTCCATATATTTTTAGTTCACCAATTAATTTCTTTCTACTTTTAGTAGAGAGGGGGTTTGGCTCTTGCTCAGGCTGGTTTCAGACTCCCGACCTTGAGCAATCCGCCCGCCTCAGCCTCCCAGAGTGCTAGGATTAAGGGGGTGAGCTACTGCGCCCCGCCCTGGCCTGAATTCTTAAGATTTGTGGAAGTACTACAAAATTTATGGCTTCCCTCCTCACAGATATGACCCATGTTTACCTCTCCCACCTCAAAAATTATTTCCAATCTTAATTTTTTGAAATGATTACATTATTTACCATACCTGTTTATTCACTTTTTTCTTTTTTAGACACAGTCTTGCTCTGTTGCCTGGGCTAGAGTGCAGTGGTGTCTTCATTGCTCACTGCAACCTCAAATTCCTGGGTTCAAGTGATCCTCCTGCTTCAGCCTCCCAAGTAGCTGGGACTACAGACATGTGCCACCATACCCAGCTAACTTTTCTATTGTTAGTAGGAGACAGGGTCTTGCTCTTGCTCAGGGTGGTTTTGCCTGAGCTCAAGGGATCCTCCCACCTTGGCCTCCCAGAGTGCTAGGATTACAGGTGTGAGCCACCCCACCCAGCCAGGAAATGACTTAGACTGAGACCTGTGAAATGAGTGTAGGAACAGTAGGAATGAGAGAAGAGCCATTGTAGAAGCCCATGGATCACACAAGGCACTGGAAAGAGCTAAAAGGTCAGTGTGGCTGGAGATGGGGGAATTGCTATAGGTATGGTTGGAGCTGAAGGTAGATAAATTAAGTAGGATCTTTGCAACTCATTTTAAGAGTTTTGCTCTGTATCCTAAAAATAATGGAAAGTAATTGAAAGGTTTTAAGTGTGGTAACATGATGAGATTTAGCTTTTTTTTTGAGACAAAGTCTCACTCTGTTGCCCGGGCTAGAGTGCTGTGGCGTCAGCCTAGCTCACAGCAACCTCAAACTCCCAGGCTCAAACAATCCTTCTGCCTCAGTATCCCAAGTAGCTGAGACCACAGGCATGTACCACTGTACCCGGATAATTTTTTCTATATATTTTTAGTTGGCTAATTAATTTCTTTTTTTCTTTTTTAGTAGAGATGGGGGTCTTACTCTTGCTCAGGCTGGTTTCGAACTCCTGACCTTGAGGAATCCACCCGGCCTAGCCTCCCAGAGTGCTAGGATTACAGGCATGAGCCACCACATCTAGCCTGAGATTTAGCTTTTTAAAAGAGCACTCAGAAGCCTGTGAGATGGCCCATGCCTGTAGTTTCAGCTATTAGGAAGGCTGAGACAGGAGGATCATTTGAGCCAAGAGTGCAAGGCTGCAGTGTGCTATGATCATGACTATGAATAGTCACTGCACTCCAGCCTGGACAACACAGTGAGACCCTTTCTCAAAAAAAAAGTCACTCAGCTTTCATCTCTCTTTTAAAAAAAAAAGTCACTCAGGCTTTTCCAAAGAGTGTGTACTTCTTCCTGCCACTGTTTCTCAGGAGAAGGGCAAAAGGCTGATAAGTTGGTAAGATTTCTACTGAATCATTCATGGCTTTCATTTCCTTTGACTTCCTTTAGGCCTTTCATGGTTGTGAGGGTCACACCCTAAGTCTGTATCTATCTTTTCTCTGTAAAATAAGGTTAAAAAAATTAGGGCCAGGCTAGGAGGCTCACACCTGTAATCCTAGGACTCTGGGAGGTCAAGGTGGGAGGATTGTTTGAGGTCAGGAGTTCAAGACCAGCCTGAGCAAGAGCGAGACCCCATCTCTATTAAAAATAGAACAAATTAGCCGGGTGTGGTGGTATGGGCCTATAGTCCCAGCTACTCTGGAGGCTGAGGCAGGAGGATCACTTGAGCCCGGAAGTTTGGGGTTGCTGTGAGTTGGCTGATGCCATGGCACTCTAGCCCAGGCAACAAAGTGAGATTTTGTCTCAAAAAAAAAATTTTTTTTTGAGATGGTGGTTAAGAGCAGATGTCTCACTGTATTGCTCAGACTAGCCTTAAACACCTGGGCTTAAGCAATTCTATAGCCTCAGCTTCCCAAGTACCTAGGACTACAGGACTACTTATGCCCTGAATAAGATTTTAAACAAAAACAAGAACATAAAAGCTGAAATCTACGCCGGGCGTGGTTGCTCACGCCTGTAATCCTAGCACTCTGGGAGGCCTAGGCGGGAGGATCGCTCAAGGTCAGGAGTTCCAGAGCAGCCTGAGCAAGAGCAAGACCCTGCTCTACTTAAAATAGAGAGGAATTAGCTGAACAACTAAAAATATATAGAAAAAATTAGCCGGGCATTGTGGCGCATGCCTGTAGTTGCAGCTACTTGGGAGGCTGCGGTTAAAGGATTGCTTGAGCCCAGGAGTTTGAGGCTGCTGTGAGCTAGGCAGATGCCATGGCACTCTAGCCCAGGCGACAGACAGATCAGACTTTGTCTCAAAGAAAAAAAAAGAAAGAAATCAAATCTAAACAAAAACTGCCTGCCATTCCGTGTATTTATATGACCTTTAGTGAATACATCAAGTGTGGTGCTGTTTTGTGAAGACTTGGTCCTTTCCTAGAGTGCCGTGGCGTCAGCCTAGCTCACAGCAACCTCAATCTCCTGGGCTCAAGTAGTCTTTCTGCCTTGGCCTCCAGAGTAGCTGGGACTACAGGCATGCGCCACCATGCCCGGCTAATTGTTTCTATATATTTTTAGTTGGCTAATTAATTTCCATTTTTAAGAGACGGAGTCTTGCTCTTGCTCAGGCTGGTTTCGAACTCCTGACCTTAAGCGATTCTCCTGCCTTGGCCTCCCAGGCTGCTAAGATTACAGGCGTGAGCCGCCCGCGCACGGCTGGGATTGGGTTTTTTTGACTGGATCAGAGAGCCGTTCGACAGCTGTTTTTGCCCTCTCTCCCCCATCCGTCAGTCCATCCATCTTGCAGTGAGTATTAAGAATTCAGAAATATTGTTTGCAATTTGATCCAAAAGGCAACTACTGCCCTAAATATAGTCTTCTGATACATGTTAGCACTTTTAAAGTACCTGCAAGCCATCAAGAGGTAGTTTCCAAGTCTCTCAAAATCCTAAAACACTGTCAGCAAGCAGCTATTGTGAAACAGCTAATTGCCATTTTATTTTATTATTTTATTTTATTAAGGCTACTCAAGTGAAGCAGCAGGACGGGGGAAGGAAGAAAGGAATCTGTAACTGGTTGTGAACAGTTAGTGGTGAATACTGCTACAGTCAGACCAACCTAAGTTGCCATTTTAAACTCAATGAGATCACGTTAGTTCCAGCCTCAGCTGCTACCTAATCTTTATTAAGCACTTATTATGTGCAAGAGACCGGAGCTGTGGAGAGGGCTGGAGAAAAACATAAAAAACACCACAAGCCAAAACTCCCGAACTTCCAAAGTAACATCACAGGACTATTGGATTAGTGAGAAAGTTGTTTTAAGAGTAAACACCTCGAGGGTGTTTGCTTCCACTCTTTAACTCCCAGCTCTCCCTGCACGGCATTCACTAGGAGCTCAACGTAAGTGCTCTGGGTGATTGAACCACCCCAACGCACCCTTGGCCAGACTCAACGCACACACCTCCTGACGCCGCCTGGGGCTGGGGTGGCCACGTGACCGGCCCGGACCAATGGGCAGGCCGCCGGGCGGTCTCCTATAAAGGCGGCGGTGGCAGCTGACTAGCGGCCGCCATTCTGGTGAGAGCTGGCTGCGACGGATGGTGGAGAGCTGCTGTTCTGCACCGCTTCATCTTGTGCAAACGGAGAAGGGCGATCATTGACAGTCTTTTTCATAACAGGTAATATACTCTCTACGGGCAGCATCGCCCTAGGCCGGCCCCTAGAGCCGACCTTGGGTAGAAACAACCGTTTTTTCCCTCTCCCCTCCCCCATCAACATTATGCACAGGCAAGAGGCAGTTGGGGAGGCCATCCTCTTCGTGCCTGCAGCCCAGGTGAGCTGCCAGTTGCTTTCCCTTGGCCTTACCAACTGCAAGCTCGTTGCCCCAATGAGCCTTCTCCCTCCCCCCCACCCTTTCCCCCTAAAAGTTTGGTTTTTGTGCTAGGGAGGGCTGGGAAGGCGGGGGTTGGGGCGAGGACATGGGGGTCCAGTTGTGCAACTGCCTCTTCCCATCTCGAAAAACACTTACGCTCTATGAGTTCTTCTTAGGTCTTGGATTGGTGGGTCGCTACTGCCTGTATTGTGGTTTCGGGAATGCATGAGAAAGTATGGAGCTTTTAGCTTTAGCTGGCATTTTTGTTGTGTTTGTTGTGTTCTGCGAGTCCTCATTTGGGACAGGGACATCCTGGTCCTTGATTCATTTATTCAACTTTGTTAATTCCTTGGGACCTACTATACCCTCTACTGGTTGCTGCAGAATTGGAGGTGGGCCTGACCTCAGAGTGCACTGGCTTAGGTTAAGAATTAAGATAGAGATGTGTACAGGGTGCCTTGGGACCCATGGGAAGGGCCTGTGTGGTTGGAAGGGAAGAAGGCAGATTTCTCAGTAGAGGTGATAACTCAGCTGGGTCTTGAGGCACAAATAGAAGTTAGGCTAAAGAGTGATGAGGGAAGCTGGGGTAAAGAGAAGTTTTTCAAAGGCATGAATGTATGTACAGAGTACAGTAGGACAGTGGAGAATTGCTTTTTTAAAAAATGAGGCTGCTATGTTGTCCAGGCTGCAGTGCAGTAGCTGTACACAAGCATTGTCATTCACATTACAGCCTTCAATTCCTGGCCTCAACTGATCCTCCCACCTCAACCTACTGAGTAGCTGGGATGACAGATGCTGTGCCATGGTGCCTGGCAAGAATTGCATATTTCTTGAGTAGCTGGCACAGTGTTGGGAGTTGATGGAGTAGCAAAAGATAAGTGTAGTGAGATGGCCAAGGAAGGTATTATAAAAGGGTTTGTATATCATGAAGGACAGTGGGTTGAACAGCATGATCTTAAGCAAATTGCTGCACACAAAAATCAAGACATCACTATTGTATTTTTTTTTTTTTTTTGAGACAGTCTCACTGTGTTGCCTGGGCTAGAGTGCCGTGGCATCAGCCTAGCTCACAGCAACCTCAAACTCCTGGGCTCAAGCAATCCTCTTACCTCAGCCTCCCAAGTAGCTGGGACTATAGGCATGCACCACCATGCCTGGCTAATTGTTTCTATATATTTTTTTTTTTTTTTTTTTATTTTTTTATTTTTATTTTTTGAGACAGAGTCTCGCTTTGTTGTCCAGGCTAGAGTGAGTGCCGTGGCGTCAGCCTAGCTCACAGCAACCTCAAACTCCTGGGCTTGAGTGATCCTTCTGCCTCAGCCTCCCGAGTAGCTGGGACTACAGGCATGCGCCACCATGCCCGGCTAATTTTTTATATATATATCAGTTGGCCAATTAATTTCTTTCTATTTATAGTAGAGACGGGGTCTCGCTCTTGCTCAGGCTGGTTTTGAACTCCTGACCTTGAGCAATCCACCCGCCTCGGCCTCCCAAGAGCTAGGATTACAGGTGTTTCTATATATTTTTAGTTGTTTGGCTAATTTCTTTCTATTTATAGTAGAGACGGGGTCTGGCTCTTGCTCAGACTGGTTTTGAACTCCTGACTTTGAGCGATCCTCCCACCTTGGCATCCCAGAATGCTAGGATTACAGGCGTGAGCCACCACGCCCGGCCTATCACCATTGTATTAATTCATGGTATTAAGTGACAAAGGGATTTTAATTATATGTACTGAGTTATAATTGCCTTTTAACAAATCTCTGTAAAGAGACTATATCCCAAAATTCTAGCTCAGGGTTTGGCAACATTGTAGTTGCCTGCCTTTTTTTACTGTCTCTCTCTTTTTTTTTGAGACAGGGTCTCACTCTGTAGATGCCTTGTACGTATTTAATAAATAAACAGAATTTGGAAAATGGTATCCTGGAAACTAGAGGAGAGTTTTAGGAGAGTCATAATAGTCTAGTGACAGATGTTGCTGAGAGGTCAAGTAAGATAAGATTCAAAAAGAATCCATTGGATTTAACAACTAAGTATGGTAAGTGTTAACTTTAGTGTAAGGGGAATTTTAGAGGAATGGTAGGGAAAAGCCAAGGGTGATGTGGGCAATAAAGACAATGTCATTAGGATGCCCTGCTGTGAAGTACAGATGAGAATATTGAAGCTATAAGGAGATGATAGGATTAAAGGAAGAATTTTTAAGGTGGCTTGAGAAAGTTTATATGGAGGGAAGCAAGAAATGTTAAAAGTTATAGAAATGTTAAAAGTATGGAAAAGAGGGAGCAGGGACCTTCAGGAAGGGGTGTTATCTAGAGTCCTAGAAAAAGTTCTAGACAGAAAGGTGCCTCGATCTTAGACCTAAAGGGAAGAGGTAAGAGAGGAGCAGATGAGATTGAATCCTTATAAAGAATATACATTGACAACGAATTACCTCTGGCCTTAACTGAAGCCTAATCTAGTTTTGAAGAAACTATTTTTTTTCACTTGGAGACTGCTCTTTTGATGTAGGATTTAGAGTTAGTATATGAGCTCATCCCAGGCCAAGTTATTTTTGCCCTTTCTGGGCCCTAGAGCTGATATCCAGAATTCATCCTCTTCAGTTCTATGTTGCACTGCCTCCCTGCATATGTAAGGCCTGTTGGGAAGTTCTACCAGAAGGTGCCACACCACAGAATAACTTACTGTCATTTATTGAACTAGATGGAACTTATTTTTTAAACAATATTTCATCAAAGCCTCAAAGTTCAACTATACCTATCTGAAATTGAGCCTTCTAGGCTCAAGATAAGTTATATTGTTTTTTAATAAGCTCAATTCTTTGAGACTTTAGTATGCATATAGGGTAATATAATTTAATACCTGCACCATTGTGGTTAAAAATCATTGAGGAATTTAAAAAAATTTTTCTATTGGCAAACTCAAGAAATTGATTTATCATGATGTTTTTGTAAGGGGGAGACTTTTGCCAAGGAGAGTGGACTCTTCTTGCTATGCCTGTGTAGCCATTCAATTAGAAATGAACTTTTATGTTTCTTGTAACATTTTGGAAACATTTTTAAGCTTATGTATGCATTTCAAAAAATCTTTGCTCCATAGTATTTGTCAGGGATGACTTTGAAATATTCACAACCACTTCAAAGCCTTTTTCTTTGAAGTTTAATTTAAAAAAAGTTGTTTCCAAGGCCAAAGCTAAGAAGATAGGATTTAAAATTTTACTCTATACACTGTTGGTAGAAATATAAGTTGAGATAACTCTGGAGAACAATTAAATACCTAGCAAAATTTAAAAGTATTGGCCCAGAAATTGTTAATGGGAATATATTCAATAAATATTGGCGTATATATGCAATGATATATTTGTTAGGATATAACAGAAGATTAAACATAACCATAATATCCACACAATGACTTACTGTGCAGAAATTAAAAAGAAATGGGTAATAATGTATGTGTTCTAGGAAATTTTTTTTCTTTTTTTGAGACAGGATCTCACTCTGTTGCCTGGGCTAGAGTGGAGTGGTATCATCATAGCTCACTATAACCTCAAACTCCTGGGCTCAAGCAATCCTCCTGCCTCATCCTCCCAAGTAGCTGGGATTACAGGCATTTGCCACCATGCCTAGCTAATTTCTATTTATTGTATAGATGGTCTTGCTGTGTTGCTCAGGCTGGTCTCTAACTCATGGCCTCAAGCAATCCTCTCACTCAGTTTCCCAAAAGTCCTAGAATTACCAGTCTGAGCCACCATACCAGCCTACACAGGGACACTTTAAAAGATGAATTAAGGGCAGAAACCAGACCATTTCTGAAAGGACATACACAAGAAATTGCTAAACAGTAGGAGGGGGATTTGTGGGCTGGGGGACAAAAATGGAACAGTATAACACTTTGTGTGCCATTTTCATCAAAATTTCACATCACAGGGATGTTAAAATTCAAATAAACTTTTGTTTTTAAGAATTCCTTAAATGATGCATTGTCTTTGAGAATTTCTCCAGAATTCCTGATTATTTTATGAATTATTGAGGGGGCAAAAAAGATGTGTAGTTAAGTTTATTATTAAAATTTTCAAGCACATAGAAAAACAGTAAAAGAATATCTGTGTATTCAACAATTGTCAACATTTTGCTATGTTTGCTTTTCTATGTAAGTTTTCTTCCCACAAGCCTTTTATATGATACATATATGACGATTTTATTGTCTGCATCCTGAGAGGTTGTTACTTTGGATCTGGTGTAATGAAGTTAGCTTTAGTTTTTCTCTTCATTGCTATGACTTTGGGTATGGAGCACCACGAGTCTTTGAGGTATAGTGTACTCTAAACTGGTTTCATGTCAAAATTAGAGTGCTGACAGTTGCCAATTTGTATGTGCTTCCTGATGAGGTGTTTCTGGGACATGGATGTCCTATAACCAATATATGGCAAAACTGTTATGTTTTTGTACAGTTCAAGTGACTGTGGCATCCAATCTCAGGTTTTAAAGGGGAAGGTTTTTTTTTTTTTTTTTTTTAGAACTATGCTAACATTTATCTCAAGAACATTACCAAGAAGTGGATTCTTATCTCGTGTGTTGTTCAGGAAGACAAACCATCATTAAAACCTGCAACTTCATATATGGATCCTAGGCAATCCAGATGGCTAGCTTCTGCAGTTTACAAAGAACACAGCATAAACACTGTCGAGTGCTGGAAATTTTACTTCAAACCTTAAAAACACTCTTCTTCTCTATCCATCAAGATTGATGGAGTCAAGGGAATGCCTAACATTAGATCATTCCACATCCTATGCCTCATTTTCTCTTCAATGGGAAATAGAAGTGGGCTATATAATGTGATATATGGAGCAACTGTAGCTGCCTGAGGTCCGAGAAACAATATGCCTAAGCTATAGCTATCTTCTGAAGATTTCAGAGTTCTTACTGATACCATGATGTTTTTAAATGTTTTTATTAACCTGCAGTTTTAATAAAGTATACATTTCCCTTATGATTCCTTTTGAGAATTTTTAATTATGCTAGAATCAAATTCAATAAATACTTTTTCTTCAGCTAAAAAATAATACAGATATGAGTATTCACACCAAGTTTTTCTTTAGCATATACTTAAATTTTTTCCTGCATAATCACTGTTATCACATCTATCAAACTGAACAATTTCCTAAATTTCTATAGCTGTCCCAAAAATGTCTGTTATAGCTTATCTTTTCAAATCAATATTTGATATAGAATAACAAATTGAATTTCATTATTTTCCTTAATGACTTTGGCTTTATAAAAGGCCATTTGTTTTATAGAATATTCTATACTCTAGATTTGTCTGTTTCCTTATGGTTTCATTTTATTTATTCTAGCACTATCCCATAGAATTTTTCTGCCATGATGACAATGTTCTATATATGTGATGTTCTCTACAGTAGCCACTAGCCACATGTGGCTATTAAGCACTTGAAATGTGGCTAAGTTTTACATTTTATTTGATTTTGGATGATTTAAATTGAAATAGTTACATGTGGTTAGGGGCTATCATTTTGGACAGCCAAAAACTCTAGTCCCTGAATTTTCTGTTAAATGAAAGTTAAATCTACAAGCTTGATTACATTCAATTGAGCATTTTGGGCAAAAAACCTTTACAGGTACTTTATCAGTACTGTGTACTTCGACATGTTAAATACTACAGAGAAGTCTAGAACTGAAGAAAGCCAGTGAGGGATCTGGAAAGTTTCAAGATTTTAATGATATTTGGGAGAGTGGAAATTTTAGGTTAGCAATCAAGTATATAGCAGGAAAGGTTTTTTGTTTGTTTTTGTTTTTAAACAGACTTTATTGTTTAGAATAGGTTTAGGTTCACTGCAACTTTGAGCAGAAAGTACAGAGTTCCCATCTACCCCATGCTTTCAAACACATATAGCTTTCTCCTACTATGAATATTCAGTACCAGAGTGATACATTTGTTATAACTAGTGAACCTACATTGACACATCATTATCCCTGAAGTCCGTAGTTTATTATACCATAGTTTCTCGTTTGGTGTTGTACATTCTATGGGCTTTTACAAATAAATCCACCATTATAGTATTATACAGACTAGGTTCACTGCTTTAGAAACTATCTGTACTCTGCCTATTCATTCCTTCCTCCCCAAACCACTGATCTTTCTGTTGTGTCTATAGTTTTCCCTTTTTGAAAATATATAGTTGGAATCATACAGTTTGTAGCCCTTTCAGATTGGCTTCTTTCACTTAGTAATAGTCATTCAAATTTTCTACATGTCTTTTCATGGCTTGATAGCCCATTTCTTTTCAGTGTGGAATAATATTCCATTGTGTTTACCTCTTCACCTACTGAAGGACATCTTGGTTGCTTCCAAGTTTTGGCAATCATGAATAAAGCTGTTGTAAACATCTTGTTTGCAGGTTTTTGTGTGGTATTTTTAAGAAAAAAAATTTAGGATACTTACTAGAGCATGTCTGTAGGCAGAGATACAAGTATAAGTTAATTCCAGATAAAGAATTAAATGTAGAAAATGAGACCATAAGACAGAGCTGAAAATATAATGAGTAATGATTTTTTACTTAAAAATATTCTATTGACAAAGGTTGTATAGTTGACCCTTGAGCAACAACATTTTGGAAAACTGGCAGATCTACTAAAGTTGAACATATATGTATGATCTAGCAACTTTATTCTTGGGTTGAACAAGGTTTCAATGCAACAACATAAATGCATGCATATATACACTACAGACATATATAGCAGCATTGGTTTTCATGTTCAAAAGCAGGAAACAACCCCGAAGTCTCAATAGGAATGGAAAAATTATGGTATTACAAATTCTACAGAATACAGCAATGAAAATGAACAAACTACATAGGGAATAACACAAATAAGTATCACAAAAAATGTTGGGGAAAAGAAGCCCAATAAATCATAATACATAGTAAATGATACTGTATGTAAAGTTCAAAAATGGTCACAACTTGATCTGTGGTGAGAGAAGTCAGCATAGTGGTTAACCTTGTTGAATGAGGGAGGGTGTAGTGATTGGGACACCCCAAAAGTAGGCTAGCTTTAAATACTAACAAAGCCAGGATAGGAACCAGTTTGGTTGTGCCAATCTAGAATATCTCCATCATTGTTCTAAATGATTTTTATTTGTTTTTAATTTTTATGTTTTTAGAGACAGGGTCTTACTCTGCTGCCTAGGCTGGAGTGCAATGGCATGATCACAGCTCACTGTAGCCTCAAACTCCTGGGCTTAAGTGATAATCCTGCCTTAGCCTCCCAAGTAGCTAGGAGTACAGGCATGTACCGCTATGCCCAGCTAATTTTAATTTTTTTTTGGTAGAGATAGGGTCTCCCTATGTTGCCCAGACTGGTCTCAAAATCCTGGCCTCAAGTGATTCTCCCACCTTGGCCTCCAAAAGTGCTGGGATTACAAGCATGAGCCACTGCACCTGCCCTTAATGACTTTTAGGTATTCTGTTTCATGTATTTATAACATGAGAAAAGCAAAATCATGAGATGAAATAACTACCTGCAAGTTAATTTAATGCAGTGGTACTCAATCTTGTCTACACATCAGAAGCACTAGGTAACCTTTAAAAAACCAACATAACTGATTCCCAAGCCCTGTCTCCAGACATTGGAAGATATTTCAGAATTTTTAAGAAGATCCATAGCACCTCATACATATTAGGACAGCTACTGTTAAAACTAAACAAAACCAAAATAACTGTTGGCAAGGATGTGGGGAAATTGGAACCCCTGTTCACTGTTGATGGGAATGTGAAATGATGTAGAGGCTATGGAAAACAGAATGGGGTTCCTCAAAAAATTACAGGTACAATTGCCATATAATTTAGCAATTCCACTTTTGCACTTCTGGGTATATTTGTCCAAAAGAACTAAAAACAGAATCATAGCAGCACCATTCACAATAACCAAGAAGTGGAAGCAACCCAAGTGACATCAGTGGGTGAACGGATAAACAAAGTGTGTGATACACACAAAATAGAACATTATCTAGCCTTAAAAAAGAAGGAAATCCTGACATGCTATGACATGGATGAATCTTGAGGACTTTATAGTAAGTGAAATAAGCAATCACACAAAAATCCTATGTGATTCCACTTGTATGAAGTATCTAGAGTGGTCAAATTCACAGAAACAGAAAGCCTATTGGTTGCCAGGTACTAGTGGGATTGAAGAAAGAAGTTATTGAATGGGTATGTAATTTCAGGTTTGCAAGATGAAAAAGTTATGGGGATCGTTTCCACACACAAAAAAGTGAATATTCTTTACTGAACTGTATAATTAAAAATGCTTAAGATGGTGAATTTTGTTGTGTATTTTGCCACAATTTAAAAATATCCATAAGTGATTAATATTCCACAAGAGTTGAGAATTGACACTGCTTTAATACAAACAAAGATACTGGCTAAGTGTTAACATTGGTCTCTAAGAATGGACAATTTATTTGATAACCATATTCCTTTTGCTGATGTACTTGAGTTGTGTGCATATTGGTAGTACCTTTGCTTTTTTATGCTTAAAGTGATAATGCTATCTAGGAATATTAGATACTGTCTTTCTGAAATACCCATGAAACTTAAAAGTATTTTATTTTAGATGTAGCAAATCTACATGGGCCAAAGAATAGCATTTTAATACTTAAGGTGTTTTTCTTTCTAATAAGTTACATTTTAAAATAAATGACTTTATTCAAATTAGCTAGAGAAATCTTTTATTCTGCTTTTCTTCTGTCATTGAATTAACAATTATAGGATACCTATATACTAATAATATCTTTAACATTCCCTGTTAATTGGTTTTACTAGGAATTCATAGACTTTTTCTGCTAAGACCTCAATTTGTGTTTTTGAAAGGCTGAAAGACTGAAATGGTGAAATAATTTAAACCATCCAAGACTAAGGCATACATAATGCAACAGCTTTTACTACTTGTTTAGAAAAAGGTTAGTCTTTATTTAAAAATTGATTCATTTATCATTTGGCTCCTCCTGTCCCCCCCCCACCCCCCATCACAATGTGCTTTAATGTACAATATCTGTTAAAATGCTTCTAAGGTACTCAGTTTTTTTCTTTTTCAGGACATGTACTTGTAGACAGCATTGGAATATCAGGACTTGAAGCAGTTAAAAATGTCTCTGCCAAGTCGACAAACAGCTATTGTTAACCCTCCTCCACCAGAGTATATAAATACTAAGAAAAATGGGCGATTGACAAATCAACTGCAGTATCTACAAAAAGTTGTCCACAAGGCTTTATGGAAACATAGTTTTTCTTGGCCTTTTCAACATCCTGTGGATGCTGTGAAACTAAAGTTGCCTGTAAGTATGTCTTAATGATAATGTTAGTTTAAAAAAAGAAAGATCCTATAAAGTCTCTGTAAAAAATAGTCTTTAATATTATAAAATATATCTAATTTAATAATGTAGCAAACAAAGCTGATTTATTTAGCACCACTAAAGACTATCCTAATGAGTATTTTCCCCCCAAACAAGCTTATTTTTCTGAGAATTGACATTCTTCTTTTAACAGTTTGTGATAAATGATAGTACATGCTTTGTTGTTATAGCGAATGTCACTAGATCTTTTGATGCAGGGTTATCATGAATGTCACCTCTGTGAAGTCCCTCTTGACACTCCCTGGCAGACTCAGTTGTATGATGTACAGAATTCAAATTTAGGTCTTATGTTAGGAATTTTTAGCCATTTGGTAATGGAATGGTTGAGTAATTTGTAAATAGCTAGTAAACCATGAAGCTGGGATTTTACTCTGGATTTGTCAGATAGACAAATTTCTTATTAAATTTCTTTGTGTACCAGTGGTTGTGGTATATTAAGTCTTACTAACATTTAGACTTTCTTCAAAACCATAGGATTATTATACCATTATAAAAAACCCAATGGATTTAAATACAATTAAGAAGCGCTTGGAGAATAAATATTATGTGAAGGCTTCAGAATGTATAGAAGATTTCAATACAATGTTCTCAAATTGTTATTTGTACAACAAGGTATGTAAGCCTTATGTTATACTTACAAATTCTTTACTATTATATATAGGAGAGAGAAGTATGAAAATCATGCACTGATTTCAGATTTTAAGTCTTAATATCGGATATTTTACATATTTTTAAGGATAATGTTTATTCACTGGATTTCATAATTTTCACACATAAATATTCACAGTATGGATCCTTGGCCATAACCTAAGAAGCTAAACATAACCTAAGAAGCTAAACAGATTTCATACTTCTGGACTTCACAATAAGTTGATTTAAAGATCACACACATTCTTTGTTCTAGTCTAGTAGTAGTACTTGCTTGCATTTGTGTGTTGTGATTTTTTGTTTTGTTTATTTTTAGAGACAGAGTCTAGCTGTGTCCCTCAGGCTGGAGTGCAGTATGTGAGCATAGGTCACTGTAACCTCAACGTCCTGGGTTCAAGTGAGCCTCTCTTCTCAGCCTCCCGAGTAGCTGGGGGTATAGGTGCCTGCCACCACACCCAACTAATTTTTCTATTTTTTGTAGAGACAAGGTCTTGCTATGTTGCCCAGGCCAGTCTCAAACTCCTAGATCCAAGCAGTCCTACCCTCTTGGCCTCCCAAAGTGCTGAGATTACAGGCTTGAGCTACCACGCCCAGCCACATTTGTGTTAATGCATATGGTGTATGTGTGGACATTTTTGAACTTAATCTTCACATTTGCTCTCACTCATAAAATTGGATTTGTGTATTTGCTTTTTCCTCCATATAGTATTCCTATTTCCTATGGTACTGTATGCTTTTCAAACTGTTTTAGAGTATTTAAATATTTTAAAGCTTATATTCCATGTAAATATGGGAAATCTAAGTATCCGGGATTTAGTTTATTTAAAATCACTAGTGATACTGAAATGTAATAGAAATTTTGATCTGGCTCTCAAGGTCAGTATCAATGTCACCTTATATGTACAAAAGGTTTAAAACTATTAGCCACGGTGAATTTTTTTTTTAAGAGACAAAGTCTCACTATATTGCCCAGGCTGGACTCAAACTCTTGGTGTCAAGCGATCCTCTTGCTTCAGCCTCCAGAGTAGCCAGGACTACAGGTGTGCACCACTGTACCTGACTCCAATGTGAATTTTTAAAAAATCAGTGCCATAGTAATCAGTATCATTAGAAATTTCATTTTAACAATTCCAAAAGGTCTTTTCACATTTAACATTTTAAAATGAAGTTTAATTTTCCTGAGCTACCTAACTTAGAAATAAAAGTTGAAGGGGTAAGGTGCTAGAATTTAAAATGTGAGTTGCTTCATTATTTTCTAAACTTAATTCAGAAGAGGTAAGTACTGTCTAGGAGTACTATGTCACTTCCTTCCATAAGGTGGCCTGAATTTTAAAAATTCAATATAGTGACCATACTGTGTACATCCTTATGATATATTTAATATATTTTCTAGCCTGGCGACGACATTGTTCTTATGGCACAAGCTCTAGAGAAGTTGTTTATGCAGAAATTATCTCAGATGCCACAAGAAGAGCAAGTTGTGGGTGGTAAGGAAAGAGTAAAGAAAAGTAAGCCAGGAGGTAAAGAGTTTATATTTTCTCTTTTCTTTGTCTCTCATTTTTCCCCCTCTTTCCCCGTTCCCTATCCCTCTTTCCCTCTGTCTGTTTCCCTCCCCTCAATTCTCCTCTTCTCTCTGTCTTTCTCTCGTCTCTCTCATATATGTAATGACTGGAAGTAAATATAAAATCCCTCAAAGGGGACAGACATCTGGAAATCTTTCTGTATCCTATTCTATTGTTACCAGTTTCCATTTAGATAGTCTGCTGAACCTTGGCAACAAGGGTGAGTATCATGCAAGAATAAGGAGGATTGCATTGATTATGGCCTTGGAGCTAGGTTTCCTGTAACTTGGTGTCATTCACATAGTAGGGACCCAATAAATATAGCTGTTATTACTCTTTTCAGTGGACATTGTATCTGTACTATAATGATAAGAAGGCCCAATTCACAGTACTAAAAAAATCACATAGCTGAAAATGAAATGTTAACTTTTGGATTTGAATATTGTCTTTTTTTCTAACTTTTTGTTAACTCATTCACAAAAAGCTTTAGAAGGAAACATCTTTATAGTTAACAATCATGTCATTTAAATATGGAGTTACAAATTAATCTTAGGTATTCAAATGGATTTATTATAGAGGTTAACAAGAATGTCATAAATGTTGGTTTGTCTTTGTATCACTCAAGCTGTGTAATCTTTGTTAAGTTCCTTAATCATTTCATGTTCATTGTCCTATCTATAATATTAGGACAATATTTATCTTTAATGGTTATAAATGTTTGTAAAGTATATACTTAAGTGCCTGGTATATAGGAGGCTTGTAGTGGGTTAACAAAAACCTTAATAGAGGTTTTTGTTGATAGTAATATGTACTTTTTCTTTATTGTAAATAGATCTTTAAGATGGGTCATGACTTACAGTTTGCTTCAACCAAATCTGTGAGATATTCACTGATTATTAAAGTTCTTATTTTATTCTTATTTTGGAAAAGATTAATCTTAAGTCTGACAATATAAGACCTAGGCCTTCTACAGGAGGATTAAAACAAGCCCTTGTAGGGAAGATAATACATACATCAGTATGGTATTTAAATTGTTCTGTACATATCTGTTTAGCTCCTGAGTTCAAAGAGCAATAGTTGGAATATCAACAGAAATTTTTTTAAGAGATAGGGTCTCGCACTATCACCTAGGTTGGAGTGCAAGTGATGTGATCATAGCTCACTGCAGCCTCGAACTCCTGAGCTCTAGTAATCCTCCTACCTCAGCCTATTCCCAGTAGCTGGAGCTACAGGCATGTGCCTCCACACCCAACTAATTTTTTTACTTTTTGTAGAGATGAGATCTTGCTTTGTTGCCCAGGCTGGTCTCAAACTTCTGGCCTTAAGAGATCCTCACACCTCAACCTCTGGAGTAGCTGGGATTACAGGTGTGAGCCACCATGCCTAGCTAAATACATTCAAATCTATTTAGTTCCTGAAGTTACTGAGTTTGTTTAGCAAGAATTAGAGAGCCAGGGATGCCTATATGTTGTATATCAAATGTGTTAATGGCATGGAAAAAATAAAGGAGAATAAGAGAGTTAGATAATGGGAAGGTGGGTTAGAGAGAAAGCGTTATTTTATACAGGTGATTTTTATACAGGGTGAAATTTGAGTAAAGGCCTTAAGGAAATGTTGGAGTGAGATATAAGCATATCTTCTTTCAGGCAAAGCAAATAGTCTGCTCCTGATTGCTAAATTTGAGGAGAACAAGGCGAGTAGGCTAAAGTGAAATAAGGGAGGAGGGAAGTAATAGGAACTGAAGTTAGAAGTCGAGAGAAGAGGGCATGCAAAACATATTCATCCTGTGGGCCATTCTGAGGACTTTGGTTTTAACTTAGAAGATTAGAAGCCATTAAACAGAAATGTCAGGATCTTGTTTGAGTTTTCAAAGATCACTTTGGTTGCTATTTTGAGGACAGACTGTAAGGTGCAAAAGCAGAAGGAAGACCAGTCAGGATGTTATTGCAGTAATCCAGTTGAGAACAGATGATGCCTTGGACCAGAGTGATTACCCCTTGTAAGAAGCGGTTGCATTCTGGATATGAAGATAGAGTTAACAGCGTTTGCTGGTGGATTGGCTGTTGGGTTAGAGATACAGTGGAGTCGAAGATGATTCTAAAGGTTTTGTCCTGAGCAATTATAATAGAAGAATTGAGTGCCTTGATGGAAGGATGGACTTTTGTAATAAGAGATTTCAGAGTGATGTGATCCAAATATAACATTCTCTGGTAACATACAGGGCAGAAAAATATGCACAACTGTTCCTATGGCAGAACTGTCTGAGGATGTGTTGATAAGAGAATCATATTCACATCTTTTGTTCTGTGGCCAATCTGTAACAATTATGAGGTCTTTGGATATTTATAGAAAGCATTCTGAAGATCTCACATAGTACTATATGGTTTGTCTCCGGGGGATCTGAAATTTTTACTCATGTTCACAGCTACCTGAAGCTAGCCACAGAGCTCTATTATTAGTCTTAGTCTAAGCTAGCCACCTTGTTGAATAAAATTGATAAACATGCCATTAATAATAAGTTTTGAAGTCTCTTTATAATAAGAAGACAAGTACTGTAATTTGTCATGAATTATCAAATATGAATGTTGATGCTCAGAAAAATCTCTTTTTTTTGGAAAAAATTCTCATTGGGATGGTCTTTAGTGGTGCTAAATAAATCAGATATCTATAAAATTAAGTATATTTTATAATATTAAGAAACCTCTTATTATATCTAAATTGGTCTAACACTGTCAGCTACTGTGTGAGAGGATTTCAAAGGGGAATGGGAGTGTTTGTATTGTTAAAAGCTGACCTAAATGAATTAAAATATAATACTAAGAGAGAAAATGGTGTTTTATACAGTACTCACTCAAATATTTGACTGTGGTTCATACTTTACTAGGCACTCAACAGAATGAAGTGGTTTCTTCCATTAAAGAAAAACCATCCCCCAAAACAACAGAGAAAGTATTTAAGCAGCAAGCAGTTCCTCCTGAGGCATCTGTTTCTCCCTTAAATATGGCACAAGGAGCTCTACTCAACTCTAGCTCACAAACTGTGGCCCAAGTAAGTTTATTCTAGTTTCAAAATCATTGGTTTCGTAAATATGTCAACATAACTTTGGATGTTGTAGTGTCTGTACTTTTTTCCAGTTGATGTGAAAATTGGTCTTCAACATGTAACAATCTTAAGTCACACCATTGCTGCCTCTTTATAAATTTTGTGAACAGAGACCTAGAAGACTCGCCAAATTTTAGAGGTTTCTTAGATTCTTAGTAGAATTTGAACTGATTAGAATCATGATAGTATTAACAATCAGAATTTGTCTACCTGTATATTTTTCTTTTTAAAATTGTGTACTCTAGCTGATTTCAGGTATTCAGAAACTTTTGGGGGATAACCATGACTTTGCTTTTCTGCCTTTCATTCATCTCATTTGCAAGACATTCTTGGCGTATGGGTAGAAAATTTTATTTATTTTACCTATAAAAGGAAATTAACCTTTCCTAATGTTTAATACATGGATTGAAACAGTATGTGTAAATTATCTATACAAAGACTTTTGGCACCAGTAAATCCAATTTTTTTTGTCTTGTAAGAATAATGATCAAAATAATTGAAAAATATTGCTCTGAATATCACCTTAATGAAGTTTTTTGTTGAATTGTTCTGTTTTAGGTTACAAGGGGTGTGAAGAGGAAAGCAGATACAACAACTCCTACAACTGCAGTAGTTAAAGCAAGTAGTGAATCTTCTCCAACACTCACAGAAAAATCAGTGAGAATTCCCCCTGTAAAAGAAAATGTGCTGAAGAATGTTTTGCCGGATTCTCAGCAACAATATAAAGGTGTAAAGACTGTTAAAGTAACTGAACAATTAAGGCACTGCAGTGAGATTCTTAAAGAAATGCTTGCAAAGAAACATTTCTCATATGCATGGCCCTTTTATAATCCTGTTGATGTTAATGCTTTGGGACTCCATAACTACTATGACATTGTAAAAAATCCAATGGATCTTGGAACTATTAAGGTAAATTTTTCCTTAATAGGAGGAACTTCTCTTCTTTATAAAAGTAATTCATTGCAAAGAAATTTTAAAATCCAGAAAAAGATGGAAGAAATTAAAATCACCAGTCGTACCACTTGGAGTTAATCACTGGAACATTTAAAAATATATCTTTTCATTTTATTCTACTTAAACACATCTACAGTTCTACATTACAACATTTGAGTGACAGTATGTAATAGAATCTGTACCCGTATTTTCACTTACTGTGTTATGGACATTTTCATGTTATATATGCTTCAAAACTATTTTAAATAATTATATAATTCTAGTGTTTGAGGGGATTTTTTGTTTGTTTTGGTAAGGCATTTGTGTAGTTTCTAACTCTCTTCCTGCCTTTTTTTTTGCTGTTGTTGTCTACTGGATTGATGTTTTCTTTGTTTCTGATTTGCAAGCTTTAAATTGTTGGGAAAATTTAACTGTTATGTGTATTAATTTTATGGATAACTGCTAAAAGAATGAACTATAACATCTACAATTTTGTTCTTTTTTTTTTGAGACAGGGTCTTGCTGTATCTCCCAGGCTGGAGTGTAGTGGTGCAGTCGTAGCTCACTGCAGCCTGCAACTCCTAGCCGCAAGTGATCCTCCTGCCTCAGTTACATTTTTCTATTTTTTTTTTAGAGATGGGGTCTTGCTATGTTGCCCAGGCTGGTCTCTAACTCCTGGCCTCAAGGAGTCCTCCTGCCTCTACCTTCCAAAGTATTGGTATTACAAGGTTTGAGCTATCAAGCGGTGGTCACTTTTTTTTTTTTTTTTTGGAGACCAGGTCTCACTATATTGCCTAAGCTGGTAACTCCTAGGCCCAAGTAATCCTACCTCTGTCTTCCAAGTGCCTGGGAGTACAGTCACGAACCACCACTCCTGGGCCTATTTATTATTGTTGAGATATTTAATTCTGACTATAGAATTATGACTATGGAATTCTAGAATGACAAGTATTTTCCCTCAGCATTTGGAAGATATATTCTGGCATCTATTGTTGCTGATAAGATATCTGCTGTCAGTCTACTTCTCATCCATTTGTAAACAATCTGTCTTTCCTATTTTTCTTGTACATTTAATTTTTTCATCTTGTTTGGAAATTAGTACTTTCAGTCTGAAGAATCATTTCTTAAGTTCTGAAAAAAAGGTTAACCTTATTATTGTCTCTTCAAAATACTGCTTTTCTACTTTTCCCTGATTAAGATTCAGGAGCCATGAAACATTACCTGAAATGAGCTGAGTCTTAAAGGATACTATCATAAGACATTATAAGTCATAGGATATTCCAGAGAGAGGGAACAATTTTTAGGACAGCCTTGAGATGTACAGGACATAGTTAGAATACTGTATTTAGGCCAACTTGAAACACAATGAGCATATGAAGGAATGACTGGGGGAAATGAGGATGGAAGGAAATCTAGGTCTTCAACAAGAAAGAATCATAAAGAGGCCAAGAGTTGCCATTAAACATGAAAAACAATTTACTCATTTTTACTTTCATGTTTTCTCTAGCAGCAATGTTAACTGGTTAGGATGCTATTATAGATTCCAAGGACTAGAATGGTGACTTTAGTTCTCTGAAATCATTTCAATTGCCAATGATCTGATTGTACAAAATTATGTTTCCTGTTTTTGTTTGCATTCTTTAATTAAAAATGAGATCTGACTTGTTGCATTGTTTATTAACTTTTGTTTTTGTTTGTGAATTTCCATAATTTACACATGTTTTGCTCAGTAGTCTATGGATTTCTTGTTATTTTCTTTTTATAGAAGCTTCCTAACTGGCTACTGTATATCTTACACTTCTGTCTTACTTGCGGCCATCTAAAATGTATCTAATGCTCATATCACTTCTCTTTTTAATGTCTTTCATTCCTGAGAAATTTTAGTATAAACCTTTCATATAGATGTTCAAGGTGTTTGGTTTAAGGAGATTATCTTTTCATGCTTCCTACTATTCAAACTTGCCTAATCAAGGTCATATGAAAACACTCTGTTTTCCTACTTTTGTTCCTATTCTTCTCTTTATTTGAATATCCTGTTTTTCTATCTCTGTGTCAAATTCATTGGTTTTTCCAAAGTCTGAAAATATGAAAGCAAATGTAGCAGAATTTTAACATTTGTCAAATCTGAATGGGCATGTAAATTTGTTATTGTGTATTTGTCTGTATTTCATAATATTCACAATTAAGATAGTGCTCAAATAATTACTGAATTAAACTACATGGTTTATGGATCCTGTAGTTTTTCTTTAATTTAGGGGAAAATGGACAACCAAGAATATAAGGATGCATATGAATTGCTGCAGATGTTAGATAATGTTCATGAATTGCTACAAATACAATCCTCCGGATCATGAATTGTGACAATGGCAAAAATGCTTCAGGTGAGTTGTACTTGTGCTCTGAAAATGTTTTCTCTGAACATTAGTTAAAAATTTTTAGTACCATAACTCAAGAGGTAAAGAATAACACTCATACCCCTAAGGTAGTATAAAACTGTTTATATAATTTTTTTTTTTTTTTTTGAGGCACAAAGTCTCACTCTATCAGACTGGAATGCAGTGGCATCATCATCATAACTCACTGCAACCTCAAAGTCCAGGCAGGGCTCAAGCGATCCTCCTGCCTCAGCCTCCCAAGTAGCTGGGACTACAAGCAGGCACTACCACACCTGGCTAATTTTTCTATTTTTTATAGAGACAGGGTCTCTGCCCTTGCTCAGACTGGTCTCCAGCTCCTGGCCTCAAGCAAATCTCCTGCCTCGGCCTCCCAAAGTGCTAGGATTATAGGCATGAGCCACTATACCCGACCTATGAATCATACTTTTAAAACTGTGACAGTTGTTTGTTTTTTGAGTTATTACATTCTTTAGTAGCAGATCTTGTAACAAAGCTTCCCTGTGTATAGAAGAAATTAGGGAAATATCACTAAAGTGAGGACAGTAGATTCTGAGACAGGGTTGACTGGAGCCCATGTCCCACCGAAGGGACAGTCCAGACTTCAGAGGCTGAGCCATTTGGAGGTAGTAGAATGTTGCAACAATTACAGGGCCCTTGAAAGAAGGTCCCTTATATAACTTGAGAGATCTAGTTTGCCTGAAAAAATGGAGAAAAGTTGCTAAGTTTGGCAAGCAGAGAAGCATAATTCTTAATATATTCTGATGTTTCTTAAAGTCAAAAAAGAATTCTGGTCAAAATACAATATTTAAGTGTACTTTTTATTAAAAGTTGTCATTATAGCATTAAATTTCAAAAATGCAGAAGACCTTAAAAGTCTAATTTTCCATTTTAGGATGTTTTTGAAATGCATTTTGCCAAGATCCCAGATGAACCTGTTGAGAGTATGCCCGTATGTCACATCAAAACAGATCCCCCCAAAACCACTGCTAGAGAAAGCAGTAGTGAAGCTTCCTCGGAAGGTAACTCTTCTGATGATTCTGAAGATGAACGGGTTCAGCGACTTGCAAAGCTTCAGGAGCAGGTAGTTGATTGTATTGATACAAGTTTTGATAATCTCTCTATGAGCTGCCGATCTATTATAAACTCCTTTTTGTAGATTTATAACTGTTTGAATTTAGATCACTTAGCAACTGTGGCTTTATTTACTTATTGACACTTTTGTAATGTTTAATAGTCTTTTCCTTATCAAATATCTGTATATTATAAAACTCTTTTATTTAAAAAATAGTTATTTATATTCCTAATCATAATGAATGGTTGATTCGCACTGATAGGATTTATGACATAATCTGAGATTTTATGAATGAGATTTTACTTAACATTTGCTACCTTATGTAATAAAACATTAACTGCTGTGAGCTCAAGCCTGAAAAACTCAATGATTAAAACCTTAAGACCACCTGAAAATGTTAATTATTCTTGGTCTGTTTTTAGATGAATATTTACATTTATGTGTTGAGCACATAGTGTTTGTAGTGTAATATATGCCCTTTGAAACAATGAATTTGTGAAATGAAATAAAAACCTGAAGGAAATATGATGAAATCAATTTCACAAAAGATACTATTGACTTTGGAGTGCCTTAATTTTTTTCTAGTGTCTTTAACTATTTAGAGCCCTGGGTGTTTAATGATTTTTTTTTCCTTTATAATCAGCTTAAAGCTGTTCACCAACAGCTGCAGGTTTTGTCCCAAGTACCTTTCCGTAAGCTAAAGAAAAAGAATGAGAAGTCTAAAAAGGAAAAGAAAAAAGAAAAGGTTAATAACATAGATGAAAATCCAAGAAAAAAATTTAAGCAGACAAAACTAAAGGAAAAGGCTAAGAGCAAGTAAGTATCTTTTATGATAGATTATTAAAATAATAACATTATCTAAAATAAGTTTGACTCAATTTAATTTTTGGTACAGTCAACCAAAGAAGAGGAAACAACAGGCCTTTGCTCTGAAATCTGAAGATGGAGATAATGCTAAACCTATGAACTATGATGAGAAAAGGCAGTTAAGTTTGGATATAAACAAACTCCCTGGTGATAAACTTGGTCGTGTAGTTCGCATAATACAATCGAGAGAGCCTTCACTGAGAAATTCCAATCCTGATGAGATAGAGATAGACTTTGAAACACTAAAAGCATCAACCCTAAGAGAACTAGAAAAATATGTTGCAGCATGTCTAAGAAAAAGACCACCAAGACCTCATGGTATGTATTTCTGTAAATTAATAGAAATCAGTCTGATATATGTGTTACATTTTGATTATACTCACTTTTTTCCCTCCTAAATCACACAGCTAAGAAAATAATGAAATCCAAAGAAGAACTTCATTCACAGAAAAAACAGGAATTGGAAAAACGGTTGCTGGATGTCAACAATCGGTTAAATTCTAGAAAACGTCCAACTAAACGTAGGTAGTGGTTTTTAAATGTTCCTGCAACTATTTAATTTTATTGGCATGTTTAACATTCTTCCCTATTTTGTAGCTGAGAAAACACAATCATCCAAAGCTGTTGGTTGTGGTTCCCGACTGAGTGAGAGCAGCAGTAGTAGTGGCAGTGGCAGCAGCTCATCAGAGTCTGGAAGTAGCAGCAGTGATTCAAGCTCTTCAGACAGCAGTGATTCCGAATCAGGTTAGCTGTCCCTCTGTTGGTGGGAACATCTTTTTCTTGTAATATTGATACTTACATTTTGAAGAAATATTTGTTACTTACTTAAAACCTATAGTTTGGATGCCACAATAATTATTTAATTGCATGTTGACAATCTTAATATTTTCCTTAAAGAGATACTGTGTAAAATAAAACTGCATATTATACATATGTGATTTGTAGGTTTGTAATGTTGAAAATAAGTTTACTCAAGGTGGGATAGTCTCTTAATAAATAATACCAGATCTTAATACCAGAAAATATCAGATAATAAAATACTGATCTTCTTTTTATGAAATAAAAGATTATATGAAGGGACTTTTCACTTTACTCTCCATGATATATCAGATCACTCTAATGTTGCAAAGTACGTAATGTTGTGATACATTTTGAATTAAGAAACCAGTCATCCCAGAAGCAGATTTTATTTCACTTCTGTGGCTTTGTTACTGTAGAATATTATTTTCCATCTATAGAAAAATGTACTTTAAATCCAGATTCTCAGTCATGCTAAAGTACATGTTATCGTACATAGATTTATCAATTGTATCAAGCTTAGGTTATTCATAGATATTTTTGGTATGCTTTTTCATGAATGTAGTTGACAAAGTAATCACTGCTGCAAGAATATTTACCTGGTGATGTTCCATCTTTATTGACCAAAAGACAAATTCAGAAGATGGGACATTTTTGTGGCTAAATTTGGCTTTACTTTAAATGAGATTTTTTTTTGTGCAATTTAGTTGTCTTTGTAAAAAAAAAAATCTCACACAGAATATTATGACATCAGGAATTCTTAACCATTTATAAGAACATCTCTCTTTTTCAGTCTGGTAGTAGGCTCTGCTAGTTTGTAGTACATTCTGTTTCACTCTCAGTTCTGTTTAGCTTGCATTTATATAGTGCTGATTGCTGCATTTTGTTTTACACTTCACAGAGTATATAGTGATAAACATTTTTGTAAGAATAAAGAATTTTTACTTTTGTTGCAATTTGTCATACTAGAAAATTTAAAAATTAATTTAGGGCTCTGATTATATACTATTTCCTTATATTTGACTTATATGCATAAAACAATACTGGAAAAATCGAAGTTGCATTTAGTATTTTAAATTGTAATTAGCATTTGTAATATCATCTAATAAAGTATTTGTGACCTAATAAGTTAGAGCACTTTGTCTTTTATTTGTTGGATAAAACTCTTACAGTAACTGTTAGCTTTAATTATCTAATTTTAATAAATGCCTTGAGTATTAGAGGGAAAGTATTATATACAGACTTTTTAAATAAAGTAGTTTAATTTTAATATCAACAGTTTCTGACAGAATATTCCCATATATTTCTTGAAGGAAAGAATGTTTATTATCCATTTGTGTTCTTAAAATGATGCGATGTATATGCTATATTTTCCTAAGTTTCTAGCAGAATAACTCAGCCTCAGAATTCTAATCCTAAAACACTGCTGTGCCAAATTTTTACTTTATGACTGACATTCTTATTTAATGTCATCTTTTTTAATTAAAAGGGGTTTTAAAAATGTTGTTAAAAATCATATATTTTTTATATGCGAAACTGCATTATGGATAGTGTACAGTTTGTGACACTAAGGTCAATTTGTCTTCTAACCTGATAGTGTGAGTTGTCATTTATCTTTGAAACTTTGTTTTATGAACATTCAAACCATGTACTTTGTTGGCAAAATGCTGTTTATGTATGTGATAAATTGTAAATACAAATTCTAACAAAATGGGGAAAAATTATATCTTTGCTTAATATAGTAAGTAAATGAAGAAAAAGGATCTTTTGTCCTAAATATTAACTACAGTTGTACCCATTAAAATCCTTCCTTCAATGTTCTTCATTTCTAGTGTGTAAGCTAAGCATATTTTTTTACTTCCCTGCCAACAGCAATAACAAAAATCATAAAGAATTAAATGGACTATAAATTGTGAAAAATAAGCAAGTCAGACTCTATCAATAACAATACCAACTGTTAAAATAATAAAGTACCTACTGTTCTTAATTATGTACAAGACATTCTTGAGAACAAATGACAAATTCTTTGTCAAAGTTTCAGGGATGGGGAAATGGGTCTGTTTAAATCTAATCTGTGAAAATTAAGTGTATCAACAAAAACTTTTATCTGCTGCATCAGTAAAATTTAACTGAAAATATAAAATGATTTTATAGCTTTAAAATTAATTATGGTGTGTTTGGAACTGAAACTTAACAGTTGAATATTATTTTTAGGGCTCTGGTTAATAGAGTTTTGAGTATTTAAAGAGAAGAGATTTTCTTTAAAATTTTAATAGAGGAAACTTTAATGAAAGCTTCTATGGCAAATTCTCTTCTGATAGAAGCAAACTGATCTTTAGTAGTTTTTTGTTTGTTTGTTTGGGTTTTTCTAACACAGAGTCTTGCTCTGTTGCCTAGGCTAGAATGCAGGGGCCTCATCACAGCTCACTGCAACTTCAAAGTCCTAGGTTCAAGCTCTCCTGCCTCAGTCTCCTGAGTAGCTGGGATTATAAAGCCTGCGGCACCACACCTCTTTTTCTCACTCTTGCTCAGGCTGGTCTCAAACTCCTGAGCTCAAGCAGTCATCTGCCTTGACTTCCCAGAGTGCTAGGACTGCAGCAGGGGCACCCAGCCATATTTTTCTTAATCTAGGTTTTAATACTTGTCTTCCTGGATTAACTATAGGCAGTGTCTTGTCTTGTCTTGTCCTGTCCTGTCCTTTTCCTTTTCCTTTCATTTTCCTTTTCCTTTCCTCTTTCCTCTCCTTTCCTCTTTCCTCTCCCCTCCCCTCCCCTCTCCTCTCCTCTCCCCTCCCCTCCCCTTTCTTCCTTTTCCTTCCCTTCCTCCCTCCCTCCCCTCCTGTCTTTTTTCTTTTCTTTTCTTCATTCTTTCTCTCTTCTATCTTTTCTTAATTTTTTTTTTTAAATGAGACAGTTTCCCTCTGTTGCCCAGGCTGGAGCTCAGTGGCACCATCGTAGCTCACAGCATCGTCAAACTCCCAGGCTCCAGCAATCCTCCTGTCTCAGCCTTCTGAGTAGCTATAACTACAGGCACACCACCATGCCTGGCTAAATTAGCTTTTGTAAAGACTGGGTCTCATTATGTTACCTAGGCTGGTCTTGGCCTCAAACAACCCTCCCATCTTAGCTTCCCAAAGTGCTGGGAGTACAGGCATGACTTACTGTGCCCAGCTTTTTATGCAATTTTCTTAACCAAGTCATAGCCTTTTAGAATTTTAGTTGTTAGGGACAGAGCTCTAATCACTTTTTCTAAATTCCTTAATATTATTGACTACTTATTATGGTTATGTTGTATTATAAGTTGGTCTCTCTTTATCACAGTGTCCTTCTCTTTAGGTATGGCAAGTATTTTAAGAGTTTATGCCTGTAAAACATGTTATGTAAGAGTTTTGGAGCTATTATTTCACATTATTTAAATGGATATCTTCCATCATTCTAAAACTTCAGTTTATACACTTTTGAAAAATAATAGACTTAATTCTGCTTTGTTAAGTCGACTTGAATACATGGTAGATAATTGATATCTAAGGAAAGTTGTATTTAAAAATCTAGGTGTTCTGCAGGCAAATCTTTAGTAAAAAAAATAAATAAATAAAAAAAATAAAAAAATAAAAAAATAAAAATCTAGGTGATTCACTTAATTTTCATTTTAAACAAGATACCAACTTAGTTTCAAGATAGAGAGTTATAATGAAATCCTAACTTCCTAAAAAATGAAAATGAGAGATCTGTGGGCTAGAAGCAGTACTTCATTGCAAATTTTAATTTGATTTTATTATTTAAATTATCTTCTTGAATTACTTCAGCATATGCAAATAGTCATGTGCAGAGAAGTCAACATTTATTAAACATTGGTATAAATATAAAATCATTTAAAATAATTTTTATCACTATCAAAATATCACTAAATGTCAAATCAAAGATGTAGATAAGCCTTGAAAATAAAATTAATTCTAATGCATATATCCTATGTTGGCTAGGCTGTGCTAATATGTGTATATACAAGCTGTTGAGAATTTTCTAATGTTCAACAACCTTGGGGTTACCTTGAGTTAAATAATAGAGAAGGAATATATTATAACTAATAGCTTTAATTTTGGCATTAATAGTGTTACTGAGAGAAGGCAATCAATAGTAGTGATTTTGATTAAAACCTTATAGGGAATAACTTCAGGAACTGTCTAAATGTAGGCTCAGATACTTGATTAGTGTGAGAAATAGAGTATTTTTTAGTCATGTTTAATTTCAGTTTGTTACACAGTTAAACACAAAGAAACCCAATGAGTATGACATCAATTCACTGTATTTCTTTATATGGTTAAGACTTAAAGTGAATTTGTCACTTTATTCTTTGGACTTTTTGCTTTTATTGGTATTAGTGTCATGTTCAGAGAATGAAATTTATGAGTTTTTAAAATAACATTTGTTTCTTTTTTTAACCTTTCTTAGTTATGGGTGACTTCAAAGTAGAAAAAGTAATTGTTAAATTTTATTTATTTATTTGAGACAGGGTTTCTGTTGCCTGGTCTAGAGTGCCATGGCATCTTCAAAGTTCACTGCAACCTCAAACTCCTGGGTTCAAGCAATACCTTCTGCCTCAGCCTTCCATGTAGCTGAGACTACAGGCATTTGCCACCACACCTGACTAATTTTTCTGTTTTTTTGTAGAGATGGGGGTCTCGCTGTTGCTCAGGCTGGTCTCAAACCCCTGGTGTCAAGTGATCCTCCCACCTCAGCCTCCCAAAGTGCTAGGCATGAGCCACCATGCCTGGCCTGATTTTTTAAGTACTATAACTTAGGTGTTCTATAGAAGTGACAGGGATATGATTTTTTTTTTTTAAGTTTTGAAAACTTGGTCTATGGCCATACCACCCTGCCTGATCTCATCCAAAAACTGCCAAACTTGGTTCAAGTCTAGATTTTGTGTTAATTTTTTAAGGGAAAATGGTTTAGTAAATGCAAGAAGTGTGCAAAGAGAGACTCTAAGTGATCTTTGCCATTTAAGCTAGTAAGCTTAAGAGAAATGATTAGAGTTCATCATTTAAGTTTCTTTTTTTAACTTTTATAAGTTTCTCATCAATTGCTTCAAAGCAAGCACTAGATGGATAAAATTCAAGGACCCAGAGTATAAAAATTTTCCATATATTAAGGTTCATACTTGAGCCTTGAGTCTTGGAAATCATGATAAATTTTGTCCCATGCATTTTTAAATTTTCTGTTCAAACTGGGTCTTCCTGAATAGACAGCCTTTCTAGAATAGTGATTCTCAACCTTGGCAGTACATTTGAATCACCTGTGAAACTCAAAATATTGTGACTGAATGTGAGCTATGAATGTGAGAGTGCAGCCAGGTATATGATGTGTTAAAAGTATCCCAGGTGATTCTGATGTGCTGTCATGTTTGAGAATCTTTGGTCTAGAGGGGTTTTGGTGGTTTCTATTTGTTTTCATTTTCTAACTATTTGAAATGCCATTGGTAAAAGGAACAGTTAGTCTGTAATTGATTTGTTCTGAATATTAAAAGAACTATGAAACATGTCAGTGGAAATTGCCAAAACATTCCTTTGGGGGAGTACATTTTTTTAGTTCAAAACCAAATTGCTTGCTTTTTATCAATAGAACATGGGTTGGACGATCAGCTTGGGAAAATCATTTAACATCTCTGGACCTTCTTTCTTTTCTATAAAATAAGGAAGCAGAACCAGGTAGTGACTTTAATCACATTTCTATACCCTGTCTTCTATAATGGAAGTGTGATTTGTTTTTCTAATTTCAGAATCCTTAGTAATTCTGCTATCTGTGGCAGCAGCATATTGTGTTTTTGCATTATCATGTTATACTCGTATTCAACTTTTTAAGTTTTTAGTTTGAATTGGCTTGCTGATAATATTTGGTATCTCTGGAGTGTGTATCTCAGTGCTTTGGTAGATATTAAATAAACCCTGTAGTTAAATCTCTGATTCCAGCTCTTTTTTTTTTTTTTAATTCTATGGTTAAAATTTTTTGATGTAGTTTAAAATGAGAACTTTGTAATCAAAGTTTTATATAGAGTTTATTGGGAGATGTGAAATTAGAACATATACATAGTTAAATTAGAACATAGATGTGTATGCCATAATGCATTTGTTTAGGAATTTACATATTATCCAATTCAGTCCTCTTAAGGTAGGTATACATGTTATCACAGTTCCCCAGAGAAATTAGCTGACAATATATATGTTGTCACTATTCTCAGTTTTATTGATCTTTGTTAGATCTTGTAGAGATTCTTCACTAATCAAATGATCTTAAGCTTAATAGTCAAAGAACATATGTCTGCCCTCTAATTCCAAAGGTCAGAAATTCATACATAAACAGATAATATGCAGTTTTAATTTCGTATGCTCTTGGAAAGTTGACTATGTAAGATTAGAATAAGAAGCAAAATGCTGAAGAATAAGTTATCATTCATCTATCTATAATCTGTAAGACTTATGAGACATACTATATGTACTAGGTGGTTTTGATTTTTTTAATTAAAATTCTATGATGCCTTTTGCTAATGTTTTCAGATTTTGAGGTATTAATTTCTATAATAATTCTGAGCTTTAGTGTTATATGCCAGAAAAGGTGATGCCCTTGAAATTTTTTTTAACAGAACACCAATGTGGTATATCCTATTTTTATTATACTTAAGAGTTTCTATTGTAGAATAATGTAGTTTAGGTGTATGTTTGGATAATTTAGATATGTAGATGTGCATATGTTATATGATCATATTAATGAAGTCTGTTTTTGTTTTTTGTTCAAAGCTGAAACTATAATTTCTCCCTTAAGTGTGAAAGCTTCTTGGATGTATATCCTTAATCTTTTCTATCTGTCTCCTCCTCTTCTCTTCCACCTAACCCCCAACACTTAAATAATACTTAGCTGAGTGACAGTAAGATGGTTCATGTCATTTTAAATACTTGAATTCTTTAAATTAAAGCATATCATTGAGTGGCATTTAGCAATTTTAACAACGTCCAGCATCAAACATTTTAGGAGAGGAAAGAACAGTAACACATCCAGTGGAAACTGATGGCATTTCAGGAGGCAGAAGGTAATTATTAAAATTAGAATGTTTTAAGTTTGAATAATATTTGGTGTTGACCAGCCTTGGTGCCCTGAAGCCTGAAGAAAATAACACTCAAGTGGTTCATGAAAGCTGGCTTGGAGAGATGGATCAAGGCTGTAACTACCACTTTGGTTCTTTACCACACTGACGTAGGATTATGATTGGAAAGAATAGCACCAAAATCAATTGTAGGGTAAAGAAAGATAAACCTATTAGCACCCTGACAGAGAGATCTCTTTATATGTACCTCTACTGCCAGTGTCAGGTGCACAAGATTGCTAAAGGTAGAGGAGTTACTATAAAACCTATTTGTTGCTATATCATTGAGACTGCCAAATAGCTTAGAAGTAATAGGATGGGCTCCTTATTACAGTGTTTAGCAAGCATAGAAGACCTGACCACAGAAATCAAATAGCTTCACTTTTAAAAAAATACTGTGTTCTCTCAGATAAATGACATTCCTTTCTCTTGTAGTAAATTCCTAACTATTTCAATTAAGCCTCTTTTGCTACATTTATGGCTATGTGATAAATAATTTTAGTGTAATTGGTGCTACTTGTTTGCAACCTTATTATTTCTATTGTTGTAATTTGTTACTTTTTAAACTGTCACTTACCTCAAAGTCTTTACTATGAAGTAACACGCTTCTTTTTTGCCTAAACATTATCTAAATTGAAATTTGTGAGTGGGTGTTTATTTCATTATGGGAAAAGAAAATATCTTAAAAGCAGGTATCCCTTTAGAAATTTTGGCTAATTCAAAGAAGACAAAAGTCTGTGACTATAAGAATTTCTTGATATGAGAGGTTGGTATTGAAGGCATTCTCTTGAAATCACCACTTTATTCCTAATATGAAAAAGTTATAACTTGGTATTTTTAAGCTAATGTATATTGAAATATTTATTTATATACATTTTCAGAAATGTTCCCTAAATTTACTGGAGTAAAACAGAATGATTCTCCTTCTAAAGGGAATGTAAAGGTAAGTTAATTCTTTATTTGTACCTTTGAATTTAAAAAGTACATATGTTATAAATCACTGGCATAGTAATAGCTTTCTTTAAAATTGGTTTTATTTTATTTACATGAAAAAATTTTTCATTTTTTTAGCTCATAAACTAAATGTTCAAATATTTCTTCCTAAAGAATATTGACTAGAGAAACTATTTGGTTTCATCTTTCTAATAAGATATAACTGTTAATTCTGGAAGCATCAGCTTATCCTTGAGAATCTGAATACAGAGGGATGACCTTGATATCCCCAGTGTGTGCACAGAACTGTGTGTATAGAAAGGGGAAATTTATCCAGAAAAGGTAGTAGGACAATGGTACCTAGGGTTTCTGCAGATAAAGGTTATATTAATAATTGCCACTAATCAATTTTAGCACTTTTTCATTTGGCTAGTAGTTGACATGCTTTGAAAAAGATAGTAGTTTTTTTTTTTTTTTAATTTTTTTTTACTAATTCAGGTTATCATCCTCACATAAAATTTTGTTCCTTTGTACCCATTCCAAATATGGAAATACATTCTGTGCAACTTACCTAGAAAAATAAAGTAAACAAATATGGGAATACAGTAAATTTATTGAACAATATGTTAGGGAAATGCTATGTGCACATATAGTAGTAACATTCATCGGGTGGGGAATGGGTATATTCATACCCTAATGGGTACGATGCATACCATCTGGGGGATGGATATGCTTGAAGCTCTGACTTAGGTGGAGCAAAGGCAATATATATAATCTAAACATTTGTACCCCTGTAATATGCTGAAATAAAAATATTTTAAAAAAATTTTTTTAAATAATAAATAACGCTGTCTTGAAAGGGTTCAAATTGTGAAAAAGGATGTAATCACAGTTAAGAGATTATATGATTAGTACTATAATAATCTATATGAAAATATTTTTTAGAAAATGAAGAAGGAATATATACTGCCTGAAGGAAGGACAGGCTTCACAGAGGAGATAATGCTTAAAATAAACTTATTTGTTTGTTTGTTTGTTTGTTTGACAAGGTCTCTATTGCCCAGGTTAGCATGCATCATGCTAGTGGTATCATCACTCAAATTCTGTGGGCTCAAAAATTCCCCTGCCTCAGCCTCCCAAGTAGCTAGGATTACAGGCAACAGCATACCCAGCTAAATTTTGCACTTTTTGTAGAGATGGCATCTAGCTATGTTGTCCAGGCTGATCTTAATCTCCTGGCCTTAAGCAATCCTCTCACCTCTATCTCTCAAAGTGCTAGGAGATATGAGCCACTGCCTCTGGTCTTAAAATGGGTTTTAAAGAATGGGGAAGAAATAATTAGTATGTTGACATACAGATTAGGAGGTTATTTTGTGTGTGTGTTTTTTTAAGTAATAGCAAGAAGAGAGGCAAAAACAAAAAGCACAGAAGTTATATTTAAAGAAATGTGGTAGCTGAGAGTGTTTTTAAGGGATTAGATGGTTTGAGGTATATTAACAGAGAGGTCAGTGAACACCTAAGTGTTAATATTTAATTTGGTAAGCAGGAGTGAGCTCTCAAAGAGCTCTTATATTCCTTTTGAATAGGAATAAGCTATAAATGGTCTGTCTTGCCAATTGTATTAGTGGAATAAAAAATTTTGTCAAATTATGCAGGAACTTTGGAAGCATTCTCAATATATAGCATGTAGAATGCCACCTTTATGGTCTGTGGCCAAAATTTTTTCAGTTTCACTCACTAAGAAACGAAATGGCCATTTATGATAAAGATAGTATATATTAATCTATAGGTTAATGCATAATGAATGCATATATTTGTGTATTTCAGAAAGTGATTTTATTTGCTAGTTGAAACCTGATCATTTGACTTTAAACTTTGGGCTTGGATCTGCATTATTGTTATAAATAGTCCTATGACATTTATTTATTTAGCATTTATTCAGAATTTGATAGTCTTGTAGATCACCTTCATGTAATTTTAAATTTCCCTCCTTATGTCTGTAATTCATTAAGGAAAAGGGGCAAAAAAGTGAATTGGTCTCTAGATTTGGTGCATATATGTATATCTTATATACCAAATATATATATTTATATATTATATATCAAATATGTATTTATTTTATAAATATATATTTTTCCACATCAGACACGTAAATGTGCTGATGTAACAGGGTTCGAGGGAGGCACATCTCACACATTCACTGTGAAAGCCCAATCATCATGCTTATGAACTATGAAAGTATCTTTAGATTTGATATAAAGTTCAGTTTTTATTTTTAGTGATCCCAGAAAAGCTTTTAAAAATGAGTAGCAATGTTTAATAACATATGTAAATCCATGTGTACTTGTAACCAAGATCATAGGCTTTGACTAACTCTACCTCTGGTTATATGCTATATGACAGCCAAGTTATTTAATCTTTCTAAACCATAGTTTCCTTATTTGTAAGATAGGGATAATTATATCTTATAGGTATGTATGACTTAAATAATGTAGTATTTAAAAGGCAACCTAAACATTTGTACCCCCATAATATGCTGAAATTTTAAAAAAGGTAGTATTAAATTACCTTCTTGCCTCTTGTGTTTCTGTTCTCTTAGTTATACTTCTTGTGTGGTTAAAACTCTGAATGATAACTTTGACTTTGTCTTAGCAGGTGCAATATTCTGCACAAGAAACAATCTCTGCTGAAACTACCCTTATTCATCATACCACACATTCGTGTGTAATACCACCAAATCACCACCAGTCAGCATTTAATTATCAAGAATTAGAACATTTACAGACTATGAAAAACACTTCGCCTTTACAAATTCTGCCTCTCTCAGGTAAGAAATTAACAAGTAAACAACTGCGATTAAGTTGTTCTACCCTCTAAACCTCTATAATACATGAAAATGCTTTAGTCATCTTAAATATTAATTATCTGGGAAATATTGAAAATTATAAGCAGCAAATCTAGGTTAGAAATAATCACTGAAGCATATTGGTGTTTTTTTTTTTTTTTTTTTTTTTTGTTTGGGGTTTTTTGAGACAGCACTGAAGCATATTGTTAGAAACTATCTTTATACCCATAGGCACTCATTACTTTTGAAAAAAAGAAAATTATGTATGTAGTTCACACACAATTTATTTTCTTGTAAATTGTATGCACTGGCATCTCAGCTATAAAAACAAACACAAACAAAAACCTGTCACTGCCAATGTACGTATTCCCAAGTTCTTAGCAAACTTGGGAAATGCTGCTCTAACTTCCATGACATTTGTATGTGTTAGAAAGACAGGATGGAATAAGGAAAAAATACTTAAAGATTCTATAGGTAAAGAAATGAAGTTATATATATCTCAGAAATAGTTTATAGTTAACGTCTCCCAAGACTGGCTAAATTTTAATATTTTTTGGTTCATTTGACTTTATAAATATTTTATCTGTTTGTTTTGTCAGAAGTGAACCTGTCTCAACTTGTTTCTCCAGGGGGAGAGAGGGTGTATATGGCACAAAGGATACTTCTATGATATTGATGAGATCAGCCTCCAGGGTGCCTGAACCTTGGGACAATGTATTTAGGCCTAGATTAGAGGCAGGTGTGGATATTCCTTGTCCATGTCTCCTTCCCTCCAGGCTATTCCCTGGTTTCCATTTGGCCTTCCAAGGACAGAAGTATCTCCCCAAAGGAAGAAATTTCTAAACTGTTTCACTGCAACACAGATTAGGAGGAACAGAGAGAAGTTTTGATCCTCTGTTACTTCCAGCATAAAATCTCTCTATTCTGTGTTTGGGTATTCCATTTTTATCTTTAACTCAAATTGTATCTCTTCATTGTGGGGAAGGGAATGGAGATCAAAAGAAAACCTAAGTCCAATACTGGAGGGCATTCTAGGAAGAGAAGGAACAAACATCCAAATTGTTAAATATTTATATCTATCCTTTTCTAGATATAGATTTTCAAGATACCTATATCTACCATAACTGAAGATATGATAGATATAGGATATAAATTACCTTGCTACATTTGGATGTTTTATTTTGTATACAACAAGAAGCTTCATACAGGAGCATAGCAAAATCAGATTTTATATTAGAAAGAGATTGCTGCTTATTATTTAGAGGATGGATTAAGATAGGGATGTCCTAATATAGTTAGGACCAAGTAAGGAAGCTGAGTGCTATAGTCTAGGAAAGAAATTATTATGACTAAAATTAATTCAGTGAGTATAGAAAGGATGTGGATATATTAGGTATTTTGTGGCAGAATTGATAGACTTTGTTAGAATGAATGACTCACCAGGAGATTATCTAAAATAGTTGGGTTGAAAATAGAAAACACAGCTCATTTGGAACATATTAGAGGTATTATAGAATACATAATTGGAAATATAAAACTAGGAATAGGTTTCTGGAACTAACAGAATATCACAGGAATTGTGATTTAGCAATTATCAGTGTGTAGAAGCTACTTGAAGCCATGAGATGAATAAATACCCGGGAAAACATGCAGAGCAGGAATGGAAAATCTTAGTTACAAAACTCTAGGAGTAAAAGTAGAAGAAATTAATAAGTTAAAAGGAGAGGTAATCAAAGGTTGGAGAAAAAGGGGAAATGTTATAATAGAAGCCCAGGAAGATAGATTTTAGAAGGAAGTCATAGGGGTGAAAAGGAGGGGGAAAAATAATGGAAGGAGAGAGTATTAATTTGGCAAAGTGAAAAGTTTTGCTTTTGCAAAACCTTTTTTTAGTAGCCACTGTGATTGGGGCAGAAGCCAAATTGTAAGTTAGTAAGTAATAGACTCTGAGTGTAGTGAATGTAAATCATTCTTTTAAGAAGTTTGTTGGTAAGGAGGATGGAAAGATAGTTGTGGCTTTAACAAGAAAATAGATTTTTTTTTTTTTTTTTTTTGGTGGAGTGGGAAAGGTTGGTTGTTTGCTTTTTGAGACAGAGTCTCACTGTGTTGCCCAGGCTAGAGTGCCATGGCGTCAGCCTAGCTCACAGCAACCTCAAACTCCTGGGATCAAGCAGTCCTTCTGCCTCAGCCTCCCAAGTAACTGGGACTACAGGCATGCCACCACCATGCCTGGCTAGTTTTTATATATATATATATATATTAGTTGGCCAATTAATTTCTTTCTATTTTTAGTAGAGATGGGGTCTCACTCTTGCTCAAGCTGGTTTCAAACTCCTGACCTTGAGCGATCTGCCGGCCTCGGCCTCCCAGAGTGCTAGGATTGCAGGCGTGAGCCACCGCGCCCGGCCTGGAAAGGTTGTTTTGTTTTTCAGTTTTTGAGTCTGAGAGATTCGAACATGTTTGAAGATTGATTAGAAGAAGCCAAAGTAGGGAAAAGTTGCTATTTTCACTAGAGAATGTTTATAGAAGAATCATAGAGATAGCTTTGCCCTTGGAAAGGAATAAAGACAATGAAAAATAATGGTAAGATGTTCTTGAATGCAGTCAAGATGTACTTTTATTCTTATTTTAAGAAAACACCCTCTCTATGAAAAGCAAGGCTTTTCATACCTAAATCTTCATTAAGGACCAGTTTATTATAAATATTTCTTCAGATTCTGTTTATATGATGCTTATGAAAGTAACATAATGTGTACAGAGAAGGTTTGGATGATGGCTAGAGTTGCTATTGCAGTTAGCAAGCTTTTCAGAACCAGGGTGGTTTGCACTTGCCAACTGTAGGTGGCACTATGCCCAAGGGAAATTGCAAATGTTTAATAAGCCAAAAATGCATAAAGTCATTTTCTTTTCTGAAGTTTAATCTCAGTAGAAATAAATTTTTGGTTAAACCTTACCTTAAATTTAAATGATAAAAGTAACATTTTTATGCTGAAGTTTTCTTATTGGAGAAATAAACAAAATGTTAGAGTGCATAAATGATTTAAGAAATTGAATTTTTAAGTGTCGTTGGTTTTCATCACCTATCCCATCATGTCCACATGAAATGGAAGATGTTTAATTTTTTTAACTTGTAAATTGAAGTTTTTAGTCACAAAAGATTACTAACCTTATCCTTAAAACTTATCCTTACTCCATCTCAGAAAAATCACTGAATTATATTGAGGATTTTTTTAAAAAAGAAATATTTATGATGTTACCTCAACATGAATTCACAATGCCAAATAAAAAGGTAAATCAAGGAGTTTGTTATCTCATAGGAGCTATAAAGAACTGGTATATAAAGTAAAAATAATATGCCCTAAAAGAAGCAAAAGTGAAATTTAAGGAGATGAGGAAGGTAGAATGACCTGATCTTTTTTAGCAGATATATATCTTACAGAATAAGCATCATTTGAACTGGATTTCAGAGAAAAAATAAGACTTACCTATGTATATCTAGTATTGAAAGGCATTTGAATGGAGGAAACAACACGAATGTGAAGGTATTTAGGCAACTAATAATTCAATATGTGTAAAGGTTGAGTTGGATAAACAAAACAATTTAGAAAGGTAGACCAGAGTCAGATCATTTAAACTTTGAAATTTAGACCCTTTGGACTTAATGATAACTGTGTAGTCAGTGGGTAGCCAATGAAGGTTTTTTGAGCAAAGGGTATGCTTCAAGGTATTTAATCTGCCAATATTATGTAGGTCAGTTGAGGGAAAAGGGATATTGAGACCGGAATAGGAGGAGACCAATTGGGCCGTTACAATAGTAGAAAAAAAATGAAGTAAAGTGATGGAAAGAAAGAAAGGAGGAAAGTTGAAAAATTACAAGAGTGGAATGAACAGATCTGCAAATTAGGAACACATTAGTAACAGGGATATAAACTTTGGTGGTTCTAAGGTTACTGGCTGGATACTGGTCCAGGCTGACCAACCTGGAACACAGATGAAGAATAGGTTTTTTGAGGAAAGATGAGTTTTATAGTGTTTAGAGGTATGAGAGGATCATTCACAGAGAAATGTTTTTCAGAGAGTTGGACTGTTGACACACTTCCTAGGCTTCTATGACACTATTCTCTTCACCAGCCCATCTCTCTGAATGTTCTTTATAGGTATCTCTTTATCTACCTGCCTTTAGATGTTGATAATATTCTGAATTACATCCTTAAGCTTCTTTTCTCTTTATTCTACTCCAGAGCTTCTTAACCATGTTCCAAAGCACAGGCTTATTGAGCTAGCAGTCCCATTTACCCAGGTGTGCCCATACGTTGATCATTTTCTACTTACCATGACATGTAAAAGGTTGGAAAGTGGTGCTCCATACATTCTTCCTGGTCAGTTTTGGCATCTGTGACTTCTAGTCTCATTTTTACAACTCAAGCATATGTAGACCCCAGGCAAATTTATACAACTCTACTGAATGTCTTTATTTAAATGTCACATAGACATTCTAAATGCAGCATGTAAAAACTGAATTCCCCCTTTCTGTCCCCCAGATTCTAATCTTTCCCCCTTAATTCTTGATAATGGTACTATCACCACTTACCAACTTAGAGTTAACAAATTGAGAGTCATTTTAGAATTTAATTCACTTACCATATATGCTTTTTCTAGTTCCGAAACAATGTCTGACTCCAAGGAGAGAAGGGAAGATAGTTCGGTATATATAGCTTTTCTCACCATTTTTCCACTCCATATTGAACTGGGAAACCACAGGTACATTGGGCTGTGTAGGGACATACAGATTTAAAACATGTGCTTTCATTCATGTGTCCTTTGACAGTGTTTTGTCTCACCCTCATGCTGACTCCTTTCCCTTGATGTTCCTTGCTCTCTTCTTGCTGCAACTTCAAAGAGTGTGATTTAGCCAAGAAATCAGTCAAGGGGCAGATGAGTGGTAGAAGCTTAAATGAAAGTTCCTACAATATGTGTCCAGGATTATTTGAGCTTGAGTCAGTTAACAAAAACAGCGATTTAGTTTTTACTTAGGAGAAAAAGAGAAAAAAAGAAAAAGAAAAAAATTTAGTTTTGATTTGTCCCCTCTGTCCTTTAGATACTAGTTAGGACCTATAGACAGGGACTAGAGAAAATTGAAACAGAAATTATCAATTAAGTTTCCTTCCTTCCTTTTTTTCTTTCTTTTCTTTCTTTCATAGGGTCTCACTCTGTTGCCCAGGCTGCAGTACAGTGGCATGAATATAGCTCACTGCAGCCTCAAACTCCTGGGCTCAGGTGATCCTCCTGCCTCAGTCTCCCAAGTAGCTGGGGCTATAGGCGTGCACCATTATGCTCAGTTAATTTTTTTAAATTTTTTGTAGAGATGGGTTCTCGCTATGTTGCCCGGTCTGGTCTTAAACTCCTGAACTCTAGTAATCCTTCTGCCTCAGCCTCCCAAAGTTTTGAGATTACAGAGATGAACTACTGCTCCCGAATTGACTTAAATAATAAGGAATTTTGTTGGCCTGCATAACCAGTAGTACAAAAATAGGTCAGTCTTTTAGGCATGGCTTTATCAAAGTTCAAACTCTATTTCTGTAGTTAATCTTCACCCATAATAGTAAATGAAATATTTGTATAAAAGCCCAAGAATTAATGAGTTTGCATAGTTTGTTCTCTTCACCTCAGAGAGTCAAACTTTTTGTACTTTTTAACCCCGTTCCCTTGCTAGCTATTATGGCCGTCTAGTATCTCAGTTCTTCTGTTCTCTGTGTAATTGGCCATCCAGGCAGCGTCTTTCCCTGGAAGCCTTACATTGGCTTAGGAGGTCTGTTCTTCCTCAGTGAGTTATTGTTGGGGAGATGGAATTACCGTTGACTTTTCCTAAATAACACCCACCTCTGGAGCTGAGGTTAGCCTATAAACTGGAGAGTGTTATAGTGTGGGGACAGATAAAATAGATTTTAGTGTGCGAGTCACGATATATGCTATATTTAATGCTGACTAAAACAAACAAAAAATAACAAAAAGAAAAAAAAACAAAGGAGGTAAATGTCAAGTAAGAAATGTTTGTTTTATAGCCCATAAGTAAGAATACTCCAAAGTTAAGACGTATCAAAAAAATCAGTCACTTTGTTTTCATAGTGTCTGACCTGGAAGGAAAAAAAATCAAATTCTTAGTTAGATGAAATATTTTAATTATACTGTTCTAAAAATGTATGCTTCTAGGTGATTCTAAACAGCTGTTGAATGGCCTAACTGTGATGCATCCATCTGGTGACAATGACACAATGGCTATAGAATCTGAATGTCAAGTTCCTGCACAGAAGGTAAAAGTAATGTTATTTTTTTCTCATAAATCTTGAAGGGAATTTAAAATTGGGTCTAGAAGTAGTATTTTAAGCCCTAACTTGAATAAGATTTTGGATCTCTAAGCCTAAGTTTTACTTATGTAATTTAAAAAATTACCTGTGAGGAACACCCTACCTCTACCCACTACACTACCATTGCTCTTTATGCTTGTGTTTAATTGCAAATTCTGTAATGTTGGTATTTGCCAGCTATCCAAATTGTAAAGCATGTCACAGAACTATCTTTTAGAATCTATTCTAGAGATATCTAGGAAATCTGGGGGATTTCCTAATGGAGCCTTATGTGTACTTTATCTTCAAACTACATATTGATAACATTCTTTAAACAAATATTCTAGATGTTTGGGCTACATTAGATACATCAGGTACTTTTCTAGATGTTCTCAGAAACTGACTATGAACAGGATACTTATACACTGCCCCCCCCCCTTTCTTTTTACCTCACAAGTATTTCATAGGACAAATCTTAGCCTTAGTGTTTAAGATTATTGTTTGGGGACATTTAGGCAATCTAACATTTCACCACAGGAACATACTGCTTGACCGCTGTGCTTTCTTAGTATCTTTGATTTTTTTTTTTTACATAATGCTCTGCTAACAATTATTATCATAAGACCAGCTATGTTTGATGTTGGTGTTTTATTATTGATAGGTATGCATAAGAATTATTTTTAAAGTGCCTTTTCTAAAAAAACCAAAAAAACACGATGGAGGCAGGGCAAGTTCCAACTGGTTAGAACCAAGATGGTGGAGAAATAGAGGGTGTCACCCTGATTTTAGGAAAACATCACCCCTTCCATGAATATTTCTCCTCTTGTTTAGCCTGTAATTAAGCCATTGCTTAAATAGAAAGGCAACAGAAACCAGGGGGCCAGTTCTCTTGTGCAGGGAGAACTAGCCTCTGCTCTATGTGTGAAGTAGACTTTCTACTTTTTCTATACATTTTCTGAATAAATCTCACTTTCACTCAAAAAAAAAAAAAGTGCCTTTTCTGACAACTAACATTAATTTTTAATTTTATTGTTTTACTTAACAACGGAAGTATCACCCATCCACTTTAGGATGAAAAGAATAAATTTCTTAAATTAAACATTTGATTTACTGTGTACTATAATCTTTATGTTTCTAATTTAACAAAAACCTCGTAATTTTAACTGGCCCAAAATAAAGTTCAAAAACAATAAGAAAATTTCCAAAAGAGCAAAGAGGTTACAGCAAAAGTAAGCACAAAGCATCAACTCTCTGTCACACCATTCACACTTGTGCTACAGGTGAAAATCAGTAAAATTTTAGAATGAAAGCTTAAGAAATGAGATTGTATAGCCTGTTTTCTTCACAACAAAGGGGCAAGTAAACTATTTCTAATCTTGACATCTTTTCCTACCTTTGCTTCCTCCCTGTCAGCAGTGTTAACTCTTATTGAAAAGAGAGGCTACAAAATTTTGGTGCTAGAAGAAATCTTTGAGAATTGGTCTTTATGAATAAATTGCAGCCCAGATGGTTCAAGCATCTTGCCCAAGTAAGAGAAGGAATTAAAATAAATTATTTCAACAAACCCTCAACTTCTTATCTTTCTACTCAGAAGCCCAAGCTTTTCCATTCTTTCTTCTCTTATTTACTTCTGCCTCATAAAAAGATATCCCTTCTTGCCAAGACTAACCTATCCATCTCTGTTCTTAATTTTTTCATTCAACAGATTTATTGTGGACTTCTTCTGCCATCTCTATATCGTCTATCCATTATTACTTTTTGTCTTATTTTTCTACCACTTGTTTACATCTTAAACTGGAGTTTCTCAACTATAGCACTATTGACATTTTAGGCTGACCAAATTTTTTAAATTTTTTTAGAGACAAGGACTCACTCTGTTGCCTAGACTGGTCTCCAGCTCCTCAACTTAAGCAATCCTCCTGCCTCAGCCTCCTAAACAGCTGGGACTACAGGCACATGCCACTGCCTGGCTTGAATAAATTTTTTGTTGGGAGTAGGTCTGTGCGTGCATTAAGAAACCCTAGCCTCTACCTGCTAGATGCCTATAGTGCCATTGCCCCCAATCCCCTGTGACAACCAATATGTCTACTGACATTGCCAACTGTCCTCCTGGAGGGGGGTCGCCCCCAGTTAAGAGTCAATGTATTCATTTTGTCTGGTATCTAGTTATTCCCCTGTGCCTGTAATGTTTCCTCCAAGGAAACCAGTGACTTCTAAAATAGTTGCATCCCTCCTAAAGTCTTGATGGGACATGAAACCAGTCTTCCACTTTTTTCTGATTGAACATCTACTATGGTGATTTTAGTTATAGTCTCTATAGAGATGACTCAAATATATACCTCTAGACCTGACCCCTCATAAGTTTTAACATTTTTGACAACTTCTTAGTCCCCTACAGCCAAAGAGTTGTTAAATTCTTTGAGTTTTACTTCTAAAGATATCTCCTTTTCCCTTCACATCAGAAAAACTAGGCATTTTTGCCTTAATCTGAGCTCTTTTAACATACCTAGTCCTGGTCTGACTTACTTGAGACTCTCTTTGCTCTAATCCATTCAATCTTAACATTCTTATATTAGTCCTCTTGATGTGTACTGTTCTGATCATATTACTCATCTGTATGAAAGCTTTAGTGGTTTCCAACTTCTGCCACCAGCATGAAGATAAAGCACCATTATGTTGTGACCCCAATCTAATTTCACAGTCTTAACTAATATGCCTTATAAATCATTGAAACCGAACTAATCATTTCTCTCCAGATACACCAGTAGTACCTTTGATTATATTCTTTCTTCCACAGGAATGCTTTCCATCCTCATCTATCCCTGTCAGAAGTCTTCTCTTCCTTTGTGATACCTGAAAAACTTTCCTATACTTCAAATCACATGTGAATTTTCTCTCCTGTTTCAGAGTCTGTCAAAATTTCATTGCAATGAAATAACAATTTCAGGACACAGAGCCAGAGACCAGGGTTTCATCCTCCCTTTTTCCCTATTAAATATACACTTGGCCCTCCATGAAATCAACCATAGGTTGAAAATATTTGGGGAAAAAAATTGCATCTGTACTGAACTTGTACAGACTTTTTTTTTTTTGTCATTCCCCAAACAATATAGTATAACAACTATTTATGCAACATTTATATTGTATTATGCATTATAAGTAATCTAGAGATGATTTAAAGTACATGGGAAGATGTGCATAGATTATATGCAGATACTATGCCATTTTATATCAGGGACTTGAGCATCCACAGATTTTGGTATCCATGGGAGGTATTGGCACCAAGCTCCCAGGGATACAGAGGGATGACTATACTACCTGTCTTGTTTCAAATCTCTGTCAGAAGGTGAGATTCTTTAGCTGACTGAGTAGTCACATGAAACCTGGAACTAGTATTTAAGGCCATTCTATTGGTAGAGACAAAAATAGATTTTATTGGCAACTTACAGGAACAACTTTAAAAACACAACTGGGTGACCATTGGTGAAGATCTTTGTGTGTGGTGGGGTTATGGGAAGGGATGTTACAACTCATAATAATTTGGATGGCTTGGTATTTTAAAATGTAAGATATCTTATTAATAACTCTTTTATATTGCTTATATGTTGAAAGAATAATGCTTTGGGTTATTTGGTTAAGTAAATAAAATATATTATTAAAATTAAGTTTACTTAAAAAAATTTTTAGTGTGGCTACTAGGAAAATTTTAAATTCATATACATAAGACATAGCTATGTCAGAGGGTTCTCAACAAACTCCATGCCATTCTTAGGGCATAATCTTACTTTGCCTTTTATTAATCATTTGTGTATTTGTCTTATTTTCTCTACAGGATCATAAGTATTTTAATTATATTGAGTGGTTTATGTTTACATCCTATGCAAATTATTATGCAGTTATATATGTGTGTCTTAAATTGAAATAATTGGTGAGCATGCTAATTTAATTTAGTCTTAGATGAATAATTGAGTTTAGATGATGATTTGTTATCATATTTTCTTATTTTTTTCTGGCTTTAAGTAACCTTTTAGCTTAAGTTTGGTAAAAATACATGAAGGCCTTTAGAATCTTAATTTGATCTATAACTGTATCAAAATATATTTATCTTCCTTCGAAAACTTGGCTGACACATGTAGACTGAATCAAATATTTGTTTTAGGATATAAAGATTAAAAATGCAGACTCTTGGAAAAGTTTAGGTAAACCAGTGAAAACATCAGGTATACTGAAATCCTCAGATGAACTCTTCAACCAATTTAGAAAAGCAGCCATAGAAAAAGAAGTAAAAGCTAGAACACAGGAACTTATACGGAAACATCTGGAACAAAATACAAAGGAACCAAAAGTATCTCAAGAAAATCAGAGGTGTGTAATTTACTGGATTAAAGGAGGCCTTGGGGGGTATAGCAATGTATTTTAAATATGTTAAATTTCTTATCTGTCAAGTGACTATGATTCAGCCATTTAGTAGAACACAGAGCAAATTGTGATTGCAAAAAGTAAATTTCTATTGATAATTTTTCCAATAGTAATAGCCAGGCTTGGTGGCTCACACCTGTAATCCTAGCACTCTGGGTGGCCAAGGCAGGAGGATTGCTTGACCTCAGGAGTTCGAGACCAGCCTGAGCAAGAGCGAGACCCCATCTCTACTAAAAATAGAAAAAATTAGCCGGGCAAGGCGGTGCATGCCTGTAGGTAGCCCCAGCTACCCGGGAGGCTCAGGCAGGAGGATGCTTGAGCCCAAGAGTTTGAGGTTGCTGTGAGCTAGGCTGACACCACAGCACTGTAGCCCAGGCAAGAGAGTGTGACTCTATCTCAAAAAAAAAAAAAAATTTTTTTTTCCAATAGTAGTATCTATCTTGAAGAAGATAGAAATAATCAAGTGATTAAGCTAGCAAAGATATCAATTTTTAAATTACTAAATTATAAAGACATTATTTTCCAGGAATGTCTTAAAGTTTTTCAATTCTACATGTAAGAAGGTTCACCTTTGTCACAATTTTCCAAAACATTTTCTTTGATGACATAGATTATCCTATGTAAAATCTGACACATCAATATAAAACCTAAAAATGTTATAACGTGGAAATGGGTATCTAGTATATTGCTTTATATTTGTCATTTAATAACATATCTTTGTAATAAAAACTTTTAAGGAACTTAAAACCTACTTTGAGCTATATGTTTTTTCTAAGGGACCTTGGAAATGGATTGACTCCAGAATCTTTTTCAAATAAAATGCAAAACAAGTGCCATGGAGAAGAGCAGAAAGAACATCAGCAATCATTGGAAGCTCAAGATAAATACAAACTCTGGCATCTTGAAGACCGTAATTTAGCAAGGGAGAAAGAGCAAGAGCGGAGGAGAAGAGAAGCAGTAAGTGAATTTTAGTTTACTAACTCTAACAAAGGGAAGATTTAACAGAGCAGTCTTATGTTCAAAGATGTGTTTTGGGGTAATTTTTCAGTTATAGTGGAATTACTTCTTTAGTGAGGATAAAGTTCTAAAATCACAGCTTAAAATAAACATTTCTTAGTCAAAAGAGGCAAACATAATGCAATAATAGAGCCTGGATTCAAATCTTAACCTCTGTGTGATTCAATTTCCTCACCTGTAAAGTGGAACTAATAACACCTATTGTGAAGGTGAAATGAATTAACATGTATTAAGCACATGGGAAAATGCCTGGCTTATAGATGAAGTAGTTTATCACTTAATGGTAACATTATTACTCTTGAAAAATCTGTAAACCACCTAATAATTGTGACCAAAAGATATGCCATCTGGATGCTGAATCGGGATAATCGCTGAGGACAAGAGTTTGAGTCTGTGCAATATATGGAGACCCTGGATTTTTTTTTTTTTTTTAATAAAAGGTAGGTTCTCACTCTGTTGCTGGGCTAGAGTGTAGCTGCATAATCATAACTCACTGGAACCTCAAACTCCTGGGCTCAAGTGATCCTCCTGCCTCAGCCTCCTGAGTAGCTGGGACTACAGGCATGTGCCACCACACCCAGCTAATTTTTCTATTTTTTGTAGAGATTGGGTCTCACTTCTGCTTAGACTGGTCACAAACCCCTGACCTCAAGCAATCCTTCTGCCCCAGCTTCCCAGAGTGCTAGGATTACAAGTGTGAGCCACTGCAACTGACCAAAGTCTGCTTTTTATCAGATGTTTAAACCAATTACATGCAATTTGATCATTGACATGGTTAAGTTTGAGCCCACCATCTTGCTGTTTGTTTTCTGTTTGTCCTGCCCTTGTTCTCTCTTTTTTTCGTTTTCTCTGCCTTCTTTTGTGTTAATAAGTTTTTTAAAGAATTCAGTTTTATCTCCTTCGTTAGCCTATTATCAGTAACTCTTTGTTTTCTTATTTTAGTGGTTGCTTTAGGATTACTAGTATATACCTTTAACTTATCCTCTATTTTCTATATATACCATTTCATGTTTAGTATAAGAGCTTTAAAATAATGTACTTCCATTTCTTCCCTCTCAGCCTTATGCTATCTATCTATTGCTTAAATACTCAAATTATCCCTTAGACATTTTAAATAATAATTTCGTAAAGATTTTATATTTACCTATGCAGTCATCATTTCCAGTGTTCTTCATTCCTTTGTTCAGATCCAGATTTCTAAATAGTGTAATTTTCCTTTTTCCTAAAAGACTTCCTATTAACATTTTTATAGTGTAAGTCCACTGGTGATAAATTCTTTCAGCTTTTGTGTCTCTGAAAATGCCTTTATTTTATCTTTTTTTTTCATTGATAGACTTTATTTTTTAGAGCAGTTTTAGGTTCATTGCAAAATTGAGCTGAAAATACAGAGTTACACCACATACTGTACTCTCTCTCTCTCTCCACACACATACCCTCTCCCACCATCAACATCTCATTGTCAACCTTAGTTTATCAAGCAAAGTCCATAGTTTACATTACAGTTCACTCTGTATAGTTTCTATGCATTTTGACATATGTGTGATGACATATATCAACCATTAAAGTTCCATACAGAATAATTTGCCTGCCCTGAAACTTCCCTATGCCCCACCTATTTATCCCTCCTGCACAAAACCCTGGCAGCTACTGATATTTTTACTGTCTACATAGTTTTGCCTTTTCCAAAACATTATATAGTTGGAATCATACAGTATGTAGCCTTTTTCAGTTGTCTTCTTTCACTTAGCAATGTGCATTTAGGGTTCCTCTGTATCTTTTTGTGGCTTGATAGTTCATTTCTTTTAAAAAAAATTAATTATTTTAATTGACAGTTAAAAATTATATATACTTATGGTATACAACATGATGTTTTAAAACATGAAATATTGTGGAATGGCTATATCAAGCTAATTAACATGCATTAGCTTACTTTTGTGTGTGTGTGTGTGTGGTGAGAGCCCTTAACCCTTTGCACTCGCTTGCTTTTTTCTCGATTCCTTTATTCTACTCGGGATTTAATTTTTTAAATACCCCAGATTTTACAAAGCACAGCAGTAGAATAAAAACTGGAGTTTCTTTTCATACAAACTTATTTATTTGGGTTTTTTTATATTTCAAATTATTGATACATTCAAAGAGTAGTTTTAGTCTCTATAATTTTTGCTAACCATGTTGAGTCACACTCGACATCCAAGGGTTAAAAATCTATCTATAGTGATTTTTGAGCATACAATACATTGCTATTAACTATAGTTACCATATTGTACATCAGATCTCTTCAGTTTATCCTTAACTGAAATTTTGTATTCTTCGAACAATACTCCCTCCCCACTTATCCCCTGGTAACCACTATTCTATTCGCGTTTTCTATGGGTTCAGCTTTTTAAGATTCCACATATAAGTGAGGTCATATGGTATTTTGTTTATCTTTCATGCCTACCTTATTTCACTTAACATAATGCCCTTTAGGTTCATCCAGGTTGTTGCAAATGACAGGATATCCTTCTTTTTAATGACTGAATAGTATTCCATTGCATGCTATTCCAATATATACCATATTTCCTCCATCTAGCCATTTGTGGACACTTAGGTTGATTCTGTATCTTGGCTATTATAATAGTTCATTTCTTTTTGGCACAGAATCATATTCCATTGTATGGATGTACCATAGTTTCGTTATTTATTTACTTATTTACTTATTGAAGGACATCTTGGTTACTTCCATGTTATGGCAATAAAGACACTGTAAATATTTGCATGCAAGTTTTTGTATGGATGTGTTTACAACTTGCCTTCAATTTTTTGAAAGATTTTGGTTGAATAAAGAATTCTAGATTGTTAGTATTTTTTCTTTCAGTACTTATAAAGATACTCTTTCAATGTCTCATTGTCTCCAGTGAGAAATCTGATATTGTTATCTTTGTTCCTTTGTATATAACACATCCTTCCTCCACTGCTTTTAACATTTGTATCAGTCACTGGGTTTCAGCAGTTTTCTTCATGTTTCTTGTGCTTTGTTGAGCTTACTGGATATGTGTGTTTATAGTTTTCATCAAGCTTAGAAAAATTTTGGCCATTATTTCTTCAAATAATGTCCCCCTCATCCCCTTTTCAGGACTCTAATTACTCATGTATTAGGCTGCTTAAAGTTGTCTCACAGCTCATATTAGTGATGCTCTTTTTAAATTCTTTTTTTCCTTTTGGGTTTCATTTTGAATAAATCCACTAATATTTTCTTCAGTGTCTGTAATCTTCTGTTAATCCCGTCCAGTGTATTATTTTTCATCTCAGTCTCTTCCTTATAGATAGTGTTTTTCTGCTTCTTTGCATACCTGGAAACCATTAATGCCAGATTTTGCACATTTTACCTTGTTGGGTGCTAGATATTTTTGTAATGCTGGAAAAGACATGCAAATTCATAGGACATATGAGAACATTAGTTTGAGAAGAAAAAAGCCATTGGCTTTGGCTACAGTATTGGTTAAAATACAAATTAATTTTCTAGAAATTAATGAACAAAAGTGTTGTCAGCCTCATATTTTATAATAAGATAGAAATAAATTGCATTTAGCAGTGCTGTAACATATGGTAGAGTTTACATTAGAATAGTGTGGTCTGTTTTATTTTGTTTTGTTTGGGGGGCAGGGTCTGCTCTGTTCCTCGAGCCAGAGTGCAGTGGTATCATCATAGAGCTCACTGAAACCTCTAACTGGGCTTGTGTAATCCCTCTGCCTCAGCCTCCCGAGTAGCTTCTTGCCACCATGCCTAGCTAATTTTTCTGTTAGAGATGGGGTCTTGCTATGTTGTTTAGGCTGGTCTCAAATTCCTGGCCTCAAGCAATCCTCCGTCAGCCTCCCAAAGTGTGAGGATTACAGGTGTAAACCACCGTGCCTAGCCTGACCAGTGTGGTCTTATGGAACTTTCTACAGTGATAGAAATGTGCTTTGTCTATATAGTCAAATCAGTAGCGACTAGGCACATATGGTTATTGAGCAGTTGAAATGTGGCCATAGCAACTGAGGAACTGAATTTTAAATGTTATTTAATTTTAATTAATTTACATTTATTTTTTATTTTTTTTGAGACAGAGTCTCACTCTCTTGCCTGGGCTAGAGTGCCATGGTGTCAGCCTAGCTCACAGCAACCTCAAACTCCTGGGCTCAAGCAATCCTACTGCCTCAGCCTCCCGAGTAGCGAGCCCAGAAGATCCTAAGGAAATGCTACGAGCTGTTACGAGATTAGGGTAGCGTTTGCACGGCTACAGTTCACAGGCTTTTGTGCTATTTGAACCAGCCCCTCTTTTAATACATACATCTCTGGCTTGCTTTTGTGTGTAATGCATGAGGTTCTAGTTGCACAGGCTGTGGTGGCCTCAACCTCACTATTACACTACCTCTTACTGAACAGTGCAGACACTTCCCACCTTAATCTACAATAGAGTGAAAAGACTAACATACATACTCTCAGACTCTTAGAACCAACCGTGAGACAAACGAGTCTTCTTGAGAGACACCACTGATCTTAAATAAGAACTGAATCTTTTTTTATCTCAAACAACAAGATTCCATACTAAGACGATTTTCCATGTCCTGCGACAACACATAGCCAGTCAGCCGGAAGGGAGCTATAGATGCTCTTTATTTTTATTTCGTTCTTTTTTTTTTTTTTTTTTTTGAGACAGAGTCTCACTCTTTGCTGGGCTAGTGCCAGTGGTGTCAGCCTAGCTCACACGCAACCTCAAACTCATGGGCTCAAGCTCCTCTCTGCTCAGCTCCCAGGACTGACCTGACAGCAATGCACTCATGCCGCAGTTTTCTATTTTTATTTGTTTGCATTTTAGTAAGACAGGATCTCGCTCTTGCTCCAGGCCAGGTCCAAAAAACCTTCGACTCAAGCCATCCCGCTGCCTCCCAGAGTGCTAGGGATCCGCGTGAGCCCCA